AGTTTTTTATTTTAATTAAGCCTACCTTATCAGTTATTTCTTTCATGGATCACGCCTTTGGTGTTGCATCTAAAAAGTCATCACCATACCTAAGGTCATTTTGGTTTTTCCCTATGGTATCGTCTAGGAGTTTTATAGTGTTGCATTTTATGTTTAGGTCTGTGATCCATTTTGAGTTCATTTTTGTGGTGGGTGTAAAATCTGGATTCATTATTTTGCATGTGGATGTCCATTTGTTCCAGCATCATTTGTTGAAAAGACTACCTTTGCTCCATGGTATTGCCTTTGCTTCTTTGGCAAAGATAAGTTGACTATATTTATGTGGTTCACTCTTTTCTGTTTTTTAAACTGGGCTGTTTTGTGTTGATTGCAAAAAATGTCTGTGTAGCTGAAAAATACAACTCCTAGGAAGTATTCAAAAAATTTGGTAACTATATATTTAGGTCAGTTTTCATTTTATTTTACCAGAAAAGAATGCTCACTAAAGGATGGTTTAAATTTCAAAAGCAAAAGACTATGCAAGATTCTTTACTTTTATAAGAATCCTTTTATTTTAGAATTCATTGTGAGCCTGTGTCTACTGAGTCATGTCTCTAGGATATAGCCTGTATAGGAAGGTACTCTGTAGATTTTTGTGTGAGGGTGGGCCACTTTTTCCTCATTCTTTCTAGATAGAGAAAACTGGTATAGTGTCAACTGTCCTAAACATGCTTTCAGGCTTAAGAGAGGGTGACTCATTGTATTGTAAGGAGTGAGAGTTTTTATGATAGTCAACAGATATCTCTAAACATTTCTGTGTACTTTACCTTTTTATGTTGTTATATAGGGTACAACCAGTACTGTCACAAATGTTCTCAAGAATCTTTTCATTTCTAGGGGTATGTTTGGGCTTTCTTGTTTGTGAGTGACAAAACTTAACTGAGATTTGGCTTAACGTAGAAAAGGGAATTTATTGGCTTGCATAATTGAAAATTCTAGGGGTTAGCTTCAGGCATAGTTGGATCCAGATCTGTATTCACTTTTCTTTGTGTTTCTTAGCTGTACTTTCCTGTTTGTTGTCTTCATTTTCGGTCTTTTCTCTATTTCATTTTACCTAGGTTCTATTGCTGTGTCCTCAAGTTCACTGATCTTTACTTCTGCAATATCTAATCTACCTTTATTTCCATCAGTGTATTTTTTATCTTAAATGCTATAGTTTACATCTCTAGAATTTCAGATTATTTCTTGCATATCGCATGTCTTTACTTCATATGTTCAGTCTTTCTTTTAGCTTTTTGAATATATGGAATATATTTACAACTGTTTTAATGTCCTTGTCTACTAATTCTGTCATTTTTGTCATTTCTGGGTTGTTTTCAACTGACTAATTTTTTTGTTCATTATAGATCATAATTTTCTTTTTTGTATACCTAGTAATTTTTTTGTTGGATGCCAGACATTGTGGTTTTACCTGATTATTTTCATATTTCTGTAAATATTTTTGAACTTTGTTTTGGGATGCCATAGTTACTTGGAAACAGTTTAATTCTTTGTGGAGTCTTGTTTTAAGCTTTGTTAGGGAGGAGCATAGTGGTATTTGGTCTAGGGCTAATTTTTTTCCATAACTAAGGCAAAACTTCTGAGTATTCTACTTGATACTCCATGAATTATGATGTTTTCCATTCTGGTTGGTGGGAACGGGAAGTATTTCTGGCCCTGTGTGAGTGCTGACTGTTTTCCCTTTTAGCGTTCAGGTGGTCTTTCCCTGGCTCGGGCAGTTGCCCCACATGCAGGTACTGATTAGTATGCAGCCAGGCTCAAGGGGGAGATCTGCAGTTCTCTGTGCAGCTCTCCTCTCCCCAGTCCTCTGCCTTGTAACCTTGAGCTGCCTTGGCTCTCCTAGACCCTGGCTCTGTCTTCTTCTCTCCCCCCACCTTTATTTTTATAGATAGATGAAGGGAGGAGAGAGAGATAAAAACATCAATGAGAGAGAGCATCGATTGGCTGCCTCCTGCATGCCCCCCACTGGGGATCTTGCTCACAACCTGGGTGTGTGCTCTGACCAGGAATCAAACTGGCAACACCTTGGTACATGGTTCGATGCTCAACCACTGAGCCACACCAGCTGGGCTGGCTCTGTCTTCTAAACTGACTCTGAAAATTTCTGCCTGGGTTCCTTCTCCCTGTGCCATGGCTTAGAAACTCCTCTCAGCAAGATGGAGCAAACATAGGGTTTACTTTGTGTGTTTCTCATCTGTCAGGGATCACTCTCTGTTGTTGCTTGATGTCCAGTGTTTTGCAACCCTTTGTTTCATATATGTTGTTTATATGTGTTGTTAGTTTTAGGCAAGAGGGTAAATCCAATCCCTGTTACTCCATCTTGATCAGAAATGGTAGAGTGTGGGCTTTCTCGGCTTCATTTTCAAAAAGAACCAAACTTACAATCCTCAGTAACTGTTCATTCTAGTGGAAAGAGAACATCTTTAGTATCTATATAGTGTATCCAAGGAATGCCTCAGACTTATCGTTGAGCCATGTGCCCACCGGTGGATCCATCACTATGACCTGGGAAATGGTGCATTTCGATGGGCCCATTTCCTGGGTCTCAGCTACGCTCCTACCCTACGATCATTGTTGAGATGGAGCACTAGAGTTGACAGTCCTGGCATTACTGTGTGCAGAAGGAACATGGTGACACTCAAAAGGAGGGGATGCTGGCAAAATGAGCGATAGATACTTTTTTTAAATATGTGATAGAGTAGCAGTTCTTAACCTGTGGGTCGCGACCCCTTTTGAAGTCGAACGACCCTTTCACAGGGGTCGCCTAAGACATAACAGTAGAAAAATTATAGTTATGAAGTAGCAACGAAAATAATTTTATGGTTGGGGGGGTCACCACAACATGAGGGACTGTGTTAAAGGGTCGTGGCATTAGGAAGGTTGAGAACCACTGTGATAGAGGATGAGGTAGTGTCAAAGAAGAGCAAGACTTTCTATTGTAATTGAGTTCAAGAAATTCTCTGAAATAGCTTTAATTTAAGTTTCATTCAAACAACTTCAGCAAAAAGATCTGAATAAACTCCTTTCTCAGCTGATAGAAAAGAGTTTAAGGAAAAGGACTCAGTAAAGGATGAAAAGGTGGAGTGAAAAGAAAAAGGTTTTTTTTTTACAAATTTAAGCAACTATGGTTTAAAAGCTATTGTAATTTTCTGTGCTGTGATTTTTTTTTTTCCAAAATGCAGTTTTGTAAGCCTTAATGTTAATGTGTGCCTGGGGGACAGGAATTTGATCTTGCAGCATACCTGAGAATCTGTTTCATCTTCTGTGGCCTTTGAAGAAAAGCAGAGTTTAACCAAATGTGATCTGAATTGAATCTTTGTTCTGAGCCTAACTAGTCTGGCTAAAAAAATGCTCCAGAACTCACAGGTTGAGTTGGTGTACCAGAGCAGGATTTTACATGTACAGGACCCACATAAACAGAGGTCCTCTCAATTGTTTCTGGCTTTTCTTAGTGAAAACCAATCATTCTTAAAAAGGTCATTTATTCCTGATTTTTTTTTTTTTTTGTATGTATGTTCAGATAGAGTGGAAGGGAGAGAGGGAGGAAGCGAGAGAGAGAAACATCAATGTGAGAGAGAGACATCGAGTGGTTGCCACTGATACAACCCCAACCGGGGCCGGGGACAAACCGCAACTGAGGTACGTGCCCTTATCGGGAACTGAACCCGGGACTCTGGTCCGTGGGCTGCTGCTCCAACCGCTGAGCCAAACCGGCCAGGGCCTGATTTTTTTTTTTTAATGGAATGACAATTTCCTTTTTTCCCTTGTTAATATATTTTTATATTCCTTTTTAGTATTGGGGTGACATTGGTTCATAAATTATATAGGTTGCAATTCTTTAGCACATCAACTGTATATTATGTGTTCACTACCCCAAGTCAGGTCTCCTGTCACCATTTATCCCCCCCTTATCCTCTTTTGCACCCCCAGTACCCTTTCCCTCTGGTTTATGAGGGGTTTTTGTTTTGTTTTATCTCGTCGAATCAGAATGTTCTTTGTGAAGTGTCTAGTAAAGAGAAAGGAGCTGTGGATCCTGAGTCATAAGATCGGGGTGCTTTGGTTTGCCTCTAAGGAAGTGAGGCTAGGTCAGTGCCTAACCCTTCTACTTAGAAACCACTTCTCCAGTGGGGATACTGTGCCTAAAATGGAAGGTTGGTTTGTGAGGAGCTAGCTAGAGGAGAGGTTGGTTGAGTTAGCCCAAGTTTGTTATGTTAGCTTTCTGGATTAAAATGTTCATGCTTGATATAGAAGATTTCCCAAAATATGCAAATGGGCCAGCCAGGACTGTGGTTCTGTAGCAAAAACAAAACAGAACAAAAAAAACCTGATGGTTGAAATTAGGAATCAGTGGTTTTTGGACCTTTTCTTTTTTAAAACCAAGAACTACACTTCGAGATAAAAGAATTAAGAGCTGATTGAGAGAGATGGATGGAAGATCTGGCGTAGATTTACCCTTATCTGTGCCCATGCTCCTCCTCAGAGAGCTGAGAACTGCTCCTCAAGCCGACTCTCCTCCCAGCTCTGGAGTGCTGTAGATTTCCAAAGTGTAGGGACTGTGAGGACTTACAGATTATTACTGCCTGGAAGTATTCGTGAAAAAAATTTTAAGTTATTTCTATGAATGATTTTTATACTTTATTTGGCATAAAAATTTCATTCTTTAGAAAATATAATAAAGGTTGAATTTTTGGGGGGGATGCAAAAATCTCTTAAGCAAAAATACTGATCTCTAGTCAGTTGTTAAAAATTATTATGAATACTGGTCATAACTTTTCACTTAGCTAATTTAGGTAATTTTTTTATTTAGAAGTATTAACATTTTATTTATTTTTCATTAATAGGGTTCTAATCTTACATTTTAAGTAACTAATCAGATTTCAAGCAAAATATTTCTCCTTATCTATTTTCTTTAACTTAAGCATATTTTTGAGAAAAAAAATAAATTTATCTTTTTGGAACAGGGTCATTATCGTTATTGTGCTGCTCTTTCTATGCTGGGGGAATATGACTGGGCCCTGCAAGCAAACAGTAAAGCTCAAAAACTCTGTAAAAATGACCCTGAGGGAATCAAGGATCTAATTCAGCAGCATGTAAAGTTACAAAATCAAATAGAAGACCTGCAAGGTATTTCACCTAAGATTCTTTCGGTTTCAGTCAAATTCCCTTTAAAACTTTTGAAGGTGGGTTAATGGAGGACCATAAATCAGTTCTTAGATGATTTGTACTTTGTTATCTTGGTCGAGTCACCTAAGTTTCCATTTCTATCTGTGTAGGATTATATTAGTGTTATATTCCATTAGGTAATTATAAATGATTTGTATTTTTATTTGAAACATTCAGTGACAAATTATTATATGCTCTTGTGTAGAAAAATATGCCTTCTTGAAATTTTGAAATAAAGTAAATCCTTTTTAAAATAAAATTGTTTTAAAATTATCCCCTTTACTATGATAGTTATTTCTTGAAGAAAAATTTTTTCAGTAGAGTTGTTTGATGTTTTTGCACCAAGTTTGTGGCTGATTTTATCTATATCTCAGAAATTTGCTGCGCAGGCTAGGAATTCTACAGTCCCTTTATACTCTATATAGGTCTTTCCTGTTTTTCTTCTATGGGTATTTAGTGTCTTATGAAGCTGAGCTGAGTGGTTCTATTTCACTAGCAAATGTCATTCAACATAACATTATAAGATTGTGAGCTCCTTGAAGACAGGTACCATCTCTGACTCACCTCACATCCAATGGGGATGTCAAGTAAGGTCTGTGTAACATTTTGTTGACACGATCATCAAACTAAAAGCATCTTGAAATGTAAAATTATTTAGGTTTGCTTTTCAGTTCTCTAAAATGTAAATCTTTTAAAGTATGTGTTGCCAATGCACTGATTACTAAGTGTGTGTGTGATTGACTTTTATAGGAGGAACATCAACTAGGAATCCAATTAAAGCCTTTTACGAAAGCAGGTGAGTTAATAGCAATCTAATCAGTAGCTGTTACTTGCAATGGCTTTGCCCTGTGAATTTAAGAGTCACTGTGTTTGATGTTTTAGTAGCTAATAGCAACCACAGTAAAGTTGGTGGTGAAAGGATGATAGGTGGATTTTAAAGTGTCCCTGCAAGATCAGGTGACCTGTGAATTGCCAGATTTGTTTTGCTGATCCATTTGCATATGTATATATTGCAGATCAGTATCCTTAGTTTATGGGAAAAGGGGTAAAATGTTAATAGGATGTTATTATGTTTGAATGGGACCAGTTTTGGCCATCAGAGTCCTGGAAGCAGAGAGCAGGGGCACAGTCTTTGCCTTTTAACCCTTTGCCTCTATCCTGGAAACATCTGCTTCTAGACTTCCGATATTTTTTTTAAAGGCTGAGATGCTTCCTGTTAGAAATACACAAAGATAGACTTGAGTATGCCTGCAGTAAAGCCAGTAGCATCCAAGACTCTGTTTGTTACTTGGCAATGAAAGAAGATTAAGCTTTGTCACACATGCCTACATTAAAAAAAAGACTTAGTCTAGTCTATGTGGCTCAATGGATTGAGTGTTGTCCCATGGACTGAGAGATCCTGGTTCGATTCCCGGTCAGGGCACATGCCCAGACTGTGGGCTTGATCTCCAGTAGCAGGTGTGCAGGAGGCAGCTGATTGATCTTTCTCTCTCACATAGATGTTTCTGTCTCTCTCTCCCTTCTCTAAAAAATCAATAAAAACAGCCCTGGCTGGTTTTACTCAGCAGTTAGAGCATCGGCCTGTGGTCCAGAGAGACCCGGGTTTGGTTTCCGCTAAGGGCGCGTACCTTGGTTGAGGTTTGTCCCTGGCCCTGGTTGGTCGTGCAGGTGGTGGCCACTCGATGTGTCCCTTTCATGTCGATGGTTCTCTCTCTCTCCCTCCTACTCTATCTGAACAAAAAATGGAGAAAAATGTTTTCGGGTGAGGATTTAAAAAAAAAAATCAATAAAAACATTAAAAATAAACCAAGGAGACTTACTTATTTTAATTTTAGAAACCAGAATACACTTCTTCAACTGTTCTTAATCTAGTTTTTAATATCAAATGTAAAATAATATTTATCTATAAAGCCCACTCTCAGAGGTAGAGATCCTTTTTAAAACAATCTTATCTTGTCTGGCTGGTGTGGCTCAGTGGTTGAGCATTGACCCCTGCACCAAGAGGTGGCTGGTTCGATTTCTGGTCAGGACACATGTCCAGGTTGTGGGCCTGATCCCCAATGGGGGCATGCAGGAGGCTGCCAGTCGATGTTCTCTCTCATCAATGTTTCTGTCTCTCTCTCCCTTTCCCTTCCTCTCTCTCTAAAATAAATAAAGGAAAAATAAAAAAATAAAACAATCTTATCTACTTTCAAGGAAAAAAGGGTGTCATTGCTACAGTCTGTTTCTTCGAAAGTTAAATTTTTAGAAGTGCATACTAATCAATAGGAATAAAATGATTATTTCTTTTATTCTCACTCAGAGCGTACACACCTAACTTATCAGCACCTGTGTTCAGTACTTCACTTAACTTTGTGGAGACTGAAAGAGATTCCAGAAAAACCAACCACGAAATGGCAAACGGTGGTAATCAGAATCTAAAGGTAAGCTCAGTTAAAAACTGAAAATGATTTCAAGTATAGATAGTCTTATTTTTATAGTAATATTTTGGTGATAAGGGAAACTAAATATCTTATTGATATGTACCTTTTTTTTGCCTATCAATATCAAGAGAATGATTCTGTCTTTTTAATAAATAGGCTACCTCCTATAACTACATAAAAATAGTTCATTGTCACAGATTTTATTTTTTTGCAATCACACGTGTATGTTTTCAAAATGCTTTTCTATTTTTTTATCCTCACCCGAGGACATTTTTTTTCATTTTTTGTTCAGATAGAGTGGGAGGGAGAGAGAGAGAGAGAGAGAAACATCGATGTGAAAGGGACACATTGAGTGGCTGCCTCCCACATGACCCAACCAGGGCCAGGGACAAACTGCAACCGAGGTACGTGCCCTTAGCGGGAACCGAACCCGGGTCTCTCTGGACCACAGGCCGATGCTCTAACCGCTGAGCCAAACTGGCCAGGGCTCAAAATGCTTTTTTAAATTTCATTTTATACTTGGATGATTTGCTTTGTATGCCTTCCCTTTACATGTCTCTCAATCAGTTACTTGGGAATGAGTGACATTGGGGTCTGGTGGCCAAATCATCCTACCCCATACAATGCATTGGATTTTTCTTTTCCTCTCTTTTCTTTTTTTGCAGTCTCTGTGGCTGCCTGACACTGCATCATCCCACCCACCCAATTTGTGTTATATTGGGCTTGGGAGGTACCCACCCCATCCCCATCTCTGCTCAAGGTGTTTCTGCAGCCTCTGCTGCTCCTCGTGGAGGCTCGAGCCCTTAAATCATTGCTGTGCTCAGCTGAACCTTGGTCTGGTGGCTTCTTAGGGAACCATTGGACCTCTAGCCTAGCTCTGGGATCAGTGTCCCAGACGGTTTGCATCTGAGCTTTTCTTTGAACTGTAGAATACTCAAAACTCAGCAGATATCACCAAGTCCACATTTGTATTTCTCTCCAGGGTTTGAGGGGGGAAAAAACGAAAATGGCGTTTTGGGTTAGATGGGAAATAGGCATTGGAGGGAACTTTTTCAACCCACTATGTAAGTTTTTTGTTAACAATGAAAATCTCAAAGAGGCTATGTTCATTTAGGGAGAGGAGCATCAGGAAAGATGGGACAGTGCTGGTTCAGTACAGACACATACTGAACAGCTACCCTGTCGGGCCTCATGCTAGATGTCAGAAACAGAATTGTCATTTGAGGATTTGTCATATCATAATCCCTTATCATTAGTTATCATTTTGTTTGTTTATCTATTAGGCTTAATAATCACCTAGGTATTTTAGGCTCTTGAATACATTCTATTCTAACCTGTTTTATTATTTAGCTATTAAATTCTTCATGGCTCTCTTTTGTTTTTGTTTTTTTAAAGTCTCACTAATTTTATTTTCATGGGTAGGTGGTAGATGATGCTTTGAAGGTAGATGATTGTGACTGTCATCCTGAATTTCTGCCACCATCAGGTGAGTGTTTCTTCTTGTGTAAATTGTTGCTGAGTTAATGTCATGTTTTCTCAACTCCTGAGCCCCAAAATTCACACAAGCCTCACATATATTTGCCCTTGTTCTCCTTTTACTTTGCAATGCTTCTGTGTTAAAACATTGAATATTTATTTGAAATCAGTCCGCAGTCTTTTCATATTATTTAATAAATCTAATTTTGGAACTCCAAATAAAAGTAATAGAAAGGGGAGGTGAAGCTCTTCTTGGTTTATTATCTAATTTCCATTAGGCCAGTGTTTTTCAACTTTTATATCATTATGTCCCCCGACTCAAGGAGCCTTTTTAGACTTCTTTTTTCCCTACCTGCCTCCCCATGAAATTTTAATACCATAGATACTCTATATCTATTTATGTACAGTATGTACATCTCTGCTTTAAATACAGGGTAGGGCAAAAGTAGGCTTATAGTTGTTTGTATAAAAAATAATACAATAATTAACAAATAATAACACAAGAATAAACTGTTTCACGTACTTGCAACTGTAAACCTACTTTTGCCTCACCTTGTATTAAAAAGGTAGATACTTTTTCATCTCCCAATAATCACCTGCTGGGGGTGATGTCACCTCCATTGAGAATGGATGCTTTATGCTAATACAAGTTTACTCTGAACAGTTTGTGCTTAGTGCATGTGTCTATGCCTCTCGCAAACAGGCAGACACAGCAGGACCTCGCTGACTTGGCATCATGGGAAATGAAGGGCCCAGAGAAGCACGAATATTCATGTTTCATTTACCTTTCAGTCTCCCTCGATACCACCAGGTGTTTTTGGAAATCATCCGAAAGTGGATTATATGCTTCTCTGCCTTTTAAAACAGAGTTTAATAAAGTAGCCCTGGCCAGTTTGGCTCAGCGGTTAGAGCGTAGGCCTGCGGTCCGGAGAGACCCGGGTTCGGTTCCCGCTAAGGGCGCGTACTTCGGTTGCAGTTTGTCCCCGGCCCTGGTTGGTCGTGCGGGTGGCAGCCACTCGATGTGTCCCTTCACGTCGATGTTTCTCTCTCTCTCTCTCTCTTCCACTCTCTCCCTCCCGCTCTATCTGTACAAAAAATGGAAAAATATCCTCGGGTGAGGATAAAAAATAAATAAATAAATAAATAAAGTACATATTTTCTTAATGACTCAAGGTTGTTGTTGTCACACAAGTTTTTTATCTCCATCTTTCATGTGTTCCTTCCAGGGTTCTTACAGGGAGATTGTGACCTTCTAGGTAGTGACCCTGTTGCCCTCTTTTCCTTTCTCGTTTGTAAGTTCTTTTGTTTTCTTTTCATTGTTTTTGCTTTTGGCAGCCATTTTTGTCTTCTGCTTCCTGTAGTGCTGCCCTCTCTCAGACCCGGTGCCACACATCCAGCCACTTACTGCTAGGCATTTTCATTTGGTTGGCACATCAGAATTATGAAGAGGGGACGCTCAGGTGACTGTCTTACCTGATGTAACTCTGATAACGCATGAAACATCTTTGAGGATAAAACTTCTTTTTAGAAAACAGTTTTTAATTTATCGATATTCCTTAGGCCATTATCATCAGACAGTACATATAGATAGATAATGTAAATACCATTGACACTTCAGCATCTACGTTCCGTTGAAGAAACTGAGGTCCCAGGGTTAGGGTTCAATAGTTTTGCCTCAGGTCACACAGCAGAAATCAAACTGGAATTCTTTTGCCTCTCTAGAAACCTCTTCTGTTTTCTGAGGCCACCAGAACCCGCTCAGGCTCTCATCCTTTCCTGAACACATGGGCTCTGACTTGCCTCTGCTGTCTCTCCGCAAAGCTCCCACCAAATCCACCTGTCCTTATTGCTCTGCTCTCTTCTGCACAACTTGGCACGTCTGTCCCCTGCCCAGAAGTACACATAGGCTCCCTCCTCCTTTGACCCTGCCATGGGCAAAGGCTGAGCTCAGAACTGGAGAAGTGAATGGAAGCATGGAACCTGTAACACTGCCCCCCAGCCTGCCTTAGCAGCCCCTCTTCATGCCCACCTACTGTCCTTACCAAATTCGCCAAGTCACACAGGTTTGCTTAGTGCTTCTTAAAATGAACTTCACTCTAAGGTGTGGCCCATTCTGTCTGAATCCAGTTTGTTCCTTACAACTAAATACAGATGCTGTGTTCCCACTATTGCTCTTCCCAGCCACTCAGCCTCAGTGATTTCTCTTCTCTGTCAGTTTTGAGAGCAGTTACTGTGGAATTAATTTGTCAATAACAGCACTTCTCTTCTTCTTAATGGGGATTGTTGTTTCATTATTGCAGTGACTCTCTTTTCTTCCCATCTGATTGTGAACTACCTGAGAATATAAACTGGAGCCTGTATCTTTGTATCTATTCTAGGCCTACATGACAATATTCGTAATTTATAATAATTTTATAGCATACATAGACAAACATTAGTAGCTTTTTTTTTTTTTTTTGCTTAACCTATTGAATCCTTTGCTTTCTTACTCAATTTGCATATTTTTTATTATTTTACTTGCAGGCTCTTAAATTTTTATGTCCAGATTTCAGGAACAAGTACTTTTGTATTCACAGGTCAGCCTCCAAAATATAAAGGAAAACAAAAATCCCGAAACAATGAATTGGAGTTCAGGTATGTTTTTTATCTATGGTTTTGTTTTTTTCCCCCTAATGTCCTTACAAGAAAAAAAGAAAAAGAAAAAAAAAATCTCTTTTATCGTGTTGAGTACTAAAATCCCTTTCAGATATCAAAGGCATGTCTTTTGGAGAGGGTCGTTTTTGACTAGAGAATTATGAATCCTGGATAGTAATACTGATTTCTGTAAGTCGTATCATATATACTAGTATTAATTTTTTTTAATTCCAAAATACTTGCTCATAAGAGGAAAAAAGTATTCAGATAAGTATAAAGTGTAAATCAGCCTCCTTCCCTGCACACTTTGTTTCACCTCCTCCAGTTCCTTCTCCAGTGGCTTCCTTTAGGAATTGCTGCTAACAGTTTCCTGGTCATCTGGAAGCTTACTCTTCATATACAGGCGTGGGTATGTGTGTAGTGAGAGGCCCTCTTGAGTAATTATCATTGGAGGAAAGTATTCATTAATGAACCAACCACTTATAAAATTAGTTCTATGAAACATCCCTCTAAAATTAATGGTGGGAACTCTTGCCATCTGTCTTTATAGTTAATCCCCCTCACTTACAAAGATGGGAATTGATTGCAAAGTGGAATTGTCAGTCTTCACAGTAGATACAGAAGTTAACGAAAGGTGATGCCGGAGAAACTACAAAGCTATTTCTGCCACAGTTATACCAGTTGTCAGTTTTCCCCTCATTTATTTTTCTCTATATATGTTTTTTATCCTCACCCAAGGACATTTTTGCATTTATCTTCAGATAGAGCAGGAGGGAGAGAGAGAGGAAGAGAGAGAGTGAAACACCGACGTGAGACTGGTTGCCACCCACACAACCCCAACCGGGGCCAAACTGCAACTGAGGTACATGCCCTTAGCAGGAACTGAGCCCAGGTCTCTCTGGTCCTCAGGCCGATGTGCTAACTGCTGAGCCAAACCGGCCAGGGCTTCCCTCATTTCTTCTGGCTGGTTCCTTGATAGGTTCTTTAAAGGAGAATGATTTTAATATAAATATCAAAGCACTAAGAGAAATGAGTAAAGCCCAATTAAAAAATAATGACCTTTTTTTTGATCCTATTGCAAAATAAATATAAAACAAGGGCATAGAATATTATGTAATTCTCTTATTTCATAGAAAAGTTCTGAGTTTTCCTGCTTGCCTCATCCATCCCCCTCCCCAGGAGAAACCAAAACCAAATATATGGTCATTTCTTGAATGTATAGTTATCATTTTGACCTGTTTTATTAAAGATAAATTTATTTTCCTGATAACTTTGTTTCTGTTTTCAAACTGAAGGCTTTTTATTTGATTATGTCTGCCTCATGGGGTTATTTAATGATTAAGTGGAACGAGCCCTGGAACATAGTAAATGTTCAGTACATGTGAGCTGTCGTTATTGGGGACACTGTCGTTTTCACTGTTAGAACCATTCTGGCCAACAGCTTGCTTTATCTCTTTCTGAGTATCTTGCCTGTCTTCCCTTATCAGACCATGGAGATCTACATTCTTCGTTTGCATGGCTGCAGGGTATTAGAGAGAGAGAGAGAGAAAGAGAGTGAGTGTGTGTGTGTGTATGTATTTGGGGAAATTTCTAGAGTGGAATTGCTCTGTCAAAGGGGATGCATAATTTTAACTTTGATATTGTCAAAGTGTCCTCCCAGAAAATGAGCACTGTTTATACTCTTACTAAGCTGTGAGGGTGCAGTATAATAAAATATATATTTGGTCTTTGTCCCCAGTTCTGGCACAGAGTTCATAAAACTGTGGAGTTTCCTGAGTAATAAAAGTGCCTTTTTTTTAACTCTTAACAAGCCCCTTACATCCTACCTGAGTTTATACTAGGTGACTCAAGGCTGGGGCCCTACCTTCAGGATTGGGACTGGTCATTAGAAAGGGTTGGACCTTTTAGCCCCACCTCCTGGTCTCTGAGAAATTTGAGAAGGGAGCTAGAAATCAGTTCAGTTCTTTCATTAGTGGCCAGTAATGTAATCCCCTGTGCTTGTGTAATGAAAGCTTGGGGAGCTCCTGGGTGGGTGAGTACCTGGAGGTGCTGGGAAGGTGGCCCACTCTGGGACTCATGGAAGCCGTGCATCGCCTCGCTCCCCCCTACCATCCCATGTATCTCTGGACTTTTACTTGAGTTGTATCCTGTATAATAAACTAATAGTAAGTATACTGCTTTCATGAATTCTGTGAGACATCCTAGGTAATGTCGAACCTGAACGAGGGTCTCAGGAACCCCTGAATTTGTAGTTGGTTAGGCAGAAGTGTGGGTAGCCTGGGCACCTTGATGTGGCTGCTCTGAAGTGAGGGCACCTGTGGGGCCTTCATTGACTCCAGAGTTAATGTCAGAAGTGAATTGAATTGTTAGAGACTCAGTGTTGGAGAGTTGGTGTGGAAAAATGATAGGTACTGGTGTCAGAAAAACCCCACACATTTAGTGTCAGAAAACAGCTAGAGAACCTGAATCTTTCTTACCCTCACCAGCCTTGGAGTCAGGCCTTCTGAATCAGATATATATATATAGATATATATATATAACTTTAAATATATATATATATATTTTTCTTTTGTTAATCCTCACCTAAAGATATTTTTCCATTGATATTTAGCTAGAGTGGAAGGGAGAAAGGGAAAGAAAGAGAGAGAGAAACATTGATGTGAGAGAGACATTGATTGATTGCCTCCCAGACAACCCCAACGGAGCTGGGGATTGAACCTGCAACCCAGACACATGCCCTTGACCAGGAATTGAACCCTCAACCCTTTCATCCTCAGGCCGACGCTCCAACCACTGAGCCAAACTGGCCAGGACTGAAACAGTTATATCTTATTAGATTTTCCAAGATGGAGCATCTTTGCAATGTATATTGGGCACATTTCTTGTTTGAGGAGTATGTTGTTTTTGATGACTAGATTTATGATAACTTTGGATGATCAGTGCAAATTCCCCTTTATTTCTTTATCAGAAACTGTTCTTTTATATTATCTTCACAATCAATTTATCTGCCCTCCCTCCACCTCTATAGAGATTTTTTTGTTGTTATTAATCCTCCTCACCTGAGGGTATTTTTCCATTGATTTCTATATAGAGTGGACGGGAAGGAGGAAGAGAGAGAGAAACATCGATGTGAGAGAGGCACATCGATTGCCCACACCACCCCAACCCCAAGGCAGGATTCAAAACTTGCAACCCTTTGGTCCATGGGATGATGCTCTAACCACTGAGCTAAACTGACCAGGGCATAGGGATTTTTGTTGAGATTTCATTGGATTTAGAGATAAATTGAGGCAGAAATGGCATCATAGTAATGTTTCAGTTCAGGAGCTTGAGACTCTCCATTTACTCAGTGTTTAAAATGACCTTCAGTCAATGTATTACTTCTTTATATAAGCAGACTGTTTTATTTTAAAATAATTGAAAACAACACTTTTCTCTTTTAGTTCTAGTTCACAAGGGAGTTTACCAGCAGATTTGAAAAACATCTTGGAGAAACAGTTTTCTAAATCTTCCAGAGCTGCACACCAGGTAAAGAAAAGGCTTTTCTGGTGCAAAATCAAACACTTGAACAATATATTTTTCACAAGAATTAAGTTTAATCATGTACATCTGTAAGATTTATTTATTTTTAATAATTTTAGTTATGGACATAAAATGTAATATGTGATTGCTAAGAAACCAAACTATTACTAATTTAGATACTAACTTTTTAGTTATGTTAACCAGATATTTAACTAGTGGTTGACACTGCAGAATTGTTTGCTTCCCAGAGGTGTAACTGGAAGGTTTGTTTGTTTCTGCAGGATTTTGCTAATATAATGAAAATGCTAAGGAGCTTGATCCAGGACGGGTACACAGCTCTGCTGGAGCAGCGGTGCCGGAGTGCCGCCCAGGCCTTCTCAGAGCTGCTCAACGGCTTAGAGCCTCAGAAAATTAAGGTAGGTTGCTGTCTCCTGGCCCGTTCATCAGTCTGATGCGCTCCAGATGCATGTGGAAGCGAACCAGGGCTTGAACTTCACAGTTATCAGTACACCTTCGACCTTGCCAAGATGGCCTGAATCTCCTCTGGGCTGTGAGAAGCTGGCACTCTCTGATTTGGCCTTCATGCCTGCACTCAACATGCAACCCATGTTCAGACTCTCCCCTTGCTCTCTAGTTGGTGTTCAGTTGAACTCATGGCCTTCGCTCTCGATAAAGTACTAAATCAAGGATTTGGACTCGTTTTAGTCACATCTTTTCATTCAGGAAGAATTAGCTAGGTAAATAAATAATTTGTGTAAGGTTATAAGAGAGCAAATGTCTTCATTTGTCGTTAGTACCCACTTACATGCAAAAGAGAATAACTTTAGTTATTCTGTTCCATTATGAACCATGCCTTCAAGGAACTGTAAGACAGTGAGTCTGTGTTTTAAATACTTGATAGCATTATGTCTTTGCAAAATATATTTTCTAATTCTGTTTGGCCTTTATCCCAAGCAAAATTATTAGTGAGGTTTTATTACACTTTTTTCTGTTGTAGCTAATAGGTTGGTATGATGCACGTGGGCAGAATTATCTTCAGATTTTTAACTGGAACATTTTTATTGACAGCAATTGAACTTGGCCATGATTAATTATGTCTTAGTGGTCTATGGACTTGCTATTTCTCTCCTTGGAATAGGACAGCCTGAGGTAAGATTTGTGACAAATAATAAACAACTTAGACATGCCATTGATTTTAGGCAATATGTAAACATAGCTGTTTTTCCATATGCGCTTATTTCCATCTGTGTACTTTCTTGATCATTTTTTCCCTGAAATACCTATGTTTAATTTAGTTTGTGTTGTTTTTTTTTGGAAATAAATTTTAGTTTGTATTCCCATTAGAAAGAACTATGTCAACCAGTGGGAATCTACTTTTTATTTGTATGAAAAGTAAAGGACCTAAAACTCGTTGAGGGAAAAACGCAAGTTGTAGAACATAACAAACATGGTGATACTACTTATGTACTATTTGGAAAACATACATCATAATAGTGTATGTTACTTATGGCTGTCTGTGCACTTTGTAAAAGTTACAAGCATGGACGAGTCCTTCATCAAATTTCAGATAAGATGATGTTTGCATTTAGTGATGGGAGAAAGGAATGGGCCTGGGGAAGTTAGGAAAGGGAGTTCACCTTTGTTTTATTGTTTATAAAAAACTGAAGTAAAAATGATAATATCTCTTTTTTTTGAGTGGTGAGTAGTTGGGTATTTTCTTATTTTCTAGATAAGTATCTTATGTGTGCTTTTTTGGAATTGAAGAGATAGTTTATTACATTTGTGATGTACCTTGAAGTAGTAAGACTGATTAAAGAAAAAAAATGGTATGATAGAACTTGCACTTTTGAAAGAATTTCATCATTCAGAGTAGCCCCGCGAAGGAAGCAATGTATTTACTCCAGTCCAGCCCCTGCTTAAAACATTTTTAGAATGCCTCTTTTGGAACTGGCCTCAAAGCTTCTTATAAAATCCAATTTTTTAGTGACATTTCTCTTTTCACCCACAATGAGGTTAGCAGTATTGCCTAGAGCTAAGTACGGTGTCTTTGCATCCAAATTAGTCTTTTTACTGTGAAGTTACACCGTGTGGTGTTCGTCAACACCCCGGGCCCCCGTGTGTTTAGTAAACGCTCATCTGGTTGGTAGTTTGATGTGCTCAGTGCCAGCTCTTCATTCTGGAGCTGGACCACTTTGGATGTGCGTTTCCTATGGTCACAGTTTATACAGTCGCTAAGAAAATGTAATCTAGAAGGTGTAATTTTGCCAAAGAAATTTTGGACAGACATTTGTTTTTAATGTTATACAAAAAGAGTCAACCTTCAGATAAAATCGCTTCCAGCATTTCTTTTTTGTGAAAGTGATCATTGTTCTTATTGCTATTGAAGGAATTATCTGAAGCTGAAAATCAATTTAAGAGGATGATTGAACACTACCCCAATGAGGGACTTGATTGTTTGGCCTACTGTGGAATTGGAAAAGTATACTTGAAAAAAAACAGGTAAGTAGAAACCATACTAGTTTACGTTCCAGGCTGGTAACTCATTTAGAGTCTAATGTGTGATGATTCCTTTTCTGGAATCATTGTGATCTCTTCTCTCTGGCATATGTTGTAATTGTGTTTACTTTGAAGACTGGCGTTTAGTATTAGTATTAAAGTAAGAGCAGTCACATCAGTTCCTAATGCTTCCTAATTTTGAATCTAATAAGAAATTCAGTAACAGAGTAATTTGACACAAAGGGTTTTTTATTTTATCTTTTGGTATATGTCATTTTAAATGATGACTGAATTGACATAAATTAATGCTTTACAATTCTGATGAATTTTTTTGTTGTTGTTAAATATCTGTTCCCCTCCCAAACTTGTATGAAATGGTCTTAATACGAGATACATATAGCCTGGCTGGCTTGGCTCAGTGGATTGAGCAGTGTCCCGTGGACTGAGAAGTCCTAGTTGAATTCCCAGTTGAGGCACATGCCCAGGTTGCAGGCTCGATTCCTGGTAGGGGGCATGCAGGAGGCAGCCAATTGATGTTTCTCTCTCACAGTGATGTGTGTGTCTCTCTCTCCCTTACTCTCTCTAAAAAGTCAATAAAAATATTTTTTAAAAAATGACATCTTACAATCCAGCCCTTTAAAAAATATATATATATGAGGTACATATATGTTCAAAGACATCATGAGTTAGGAATAAAAATCTCTTTTCTGAATTTATGTTACAGTTGAAATCCTTACTCAAAGTTCAGTACATTTTCCATGTCTTATTTCCCCAAATTTCTATATGAACCTTAAGGGGCAGGATTATGCCTTGAGCTTTAAAAAATATCTCCCTGTTCCTGTCACTTGTACCCAGTATGATGTAGGTGTGTTAGATTACTTTATAAAGGATTGATTATTGAATGATTGCATAGTATTTGTAACTTTTAGTTTTCTTAAGTTTTAATTTAACTTTGTAGGAGAAATTTTATCAGACCATTGGTACTCTTGGAAACCCAATCTCAGAATGAGTCAGGAATCTTCTTTATAGACTTTTAAAGATTAACGAAAGTTCTTTTACTTCCTGAAGTTATTGTCTAGCCAGGCTAAATTATATTAAGAACCAGATAAAGCCCTGGCCAGTTTGGCTCAGCTCTTGGAGTGTCGGCCTGTGGTCCAGGGAGACCCGGGTTCGGTTCCCGCTAAGGGCACGTACTTCGGTTGCAGTTTGTCCCTGGCCCTGGTTGGGTCATGTGGGTGGCAGCCACTCGATGTGTCCCTTTCACGTCCATGTCTCTCTCTCTCTCTCTCCCACTCTATCTGAACAAAAAATGGAAAAATGTCCTCAGGTGAAGATTAAAAAAAAAAACTAGATAAAGACAGAAGTAAGGATTTAGCTGTCTGTTTAGCAATAAAAAATGAAATTAATTTCAAAGTTTAGTGTAAACTGTCTAGGGCATACCTGTTTAATGTAGTGGTCACATGCAGATATTCTCCTGGTCTAGAAAAATAACGTAAAAGTGTAAAATCATTGGACGGTGATAAATGAAAAAGTCTACTTTGTTGAAATTTCAAAATAATATAGTATGGGGTTCAATGTCTAATGTGCTAGTTTTTTGCCATTGTGATGTGCAGGTTCTGGTTTTTGTTTTTTGGTTAATCCTCACCCGAGGCTCCATTGATGGTTTTTTTGTTTGTTTGTTTGTTTAGGTAGAGTGGAAGGGAGAGAGGGAGGGAGGGAGGTGTGAGAGAGAGAGAGAGAGAGACAGAGGAAAGACATTGATGTGAAAGAGACATATCAGTTGGCTACCTCCTACATGGCCCTATCCGGGGATTGAACTTGCAACCCAGGTATGTGTCCTTGACCTATAATTGAATTCATGACCCTTCAGTCCACAGGCTGACACTCTAATCACTGTGTCAAACTGGCCAGGGCTAATTTCTGGTTTAAAGTTCTACTGTTTATAACTATCTAGACGGTGGGCGGTGATGTAGCACCACAAGCAAAAATAAGTTTTTAGATTGGGAAATCATTTTAAGATTTTAGAAAGCAGGAAAAATCCTCTTTGTTCTCTAGTCTGCAGAGAAAGAATAAAGACTTGGTTAACTTTATTTATTTATTATGATCTTTGAAAATTGATTTTGAGAGAGAGAGAGTGAGAAACATGGATGTGAGAGTGAAACATAGATCGTTGCCTCCCGAATGTCCCCTATGCAGGATGGAGCCTGCAACCCAGGCATGTACCTCTACCGGGAATAGAACTGGCAACCTTTTGGTGCATGGAATGCCACCCAACCAACTGAGCCACACCGACCAGAATAAGACTTGATTAACTTTATAATCCAGTATCTTAGTATCTTTTGTTGAATGGACTATGAAAATCCATTGACACTATTTTTTTAAACCATAAATTAAATTAGATTAAAACATTTTATATTTATAGTTAAAACAGTTTGCATACACATTTGTCTTGTTGGAATAATCCACCACTTTATAGTTGAAGAAAGATGCCCAGAATATACTATATCTTTAAAAAAATTTTTAGGGCAATTTTTACTATAGATGAAATCAAATTTTTTTAAAAAGTTCTCTATGGTTAAAGAATTGAAGTAGAGCCCTGGCCGGTTTGGCTCAGCGGTTGGAGAGTCGGCCTGCGGTACAGAGAGACGCGGGTTCGGTTCCCGCTAAGGGCATATACCTCGGATGCAGTTTGTCCCCGGCCCTGGTTGGTCGTGCGGGTGGCAGCCACTCGATGTGTCCCTTCACATCGATGTTTCTCTCTCTCTCTCCACCTCTCTCTCCCTCCCGCTCTATCTGGACAAAAAGTGGAAAAATGTCCTCGGGTGAGGATTAAAAAAAAAAAAAAAAAAGAATTGAAGTAGATTCTACAAGAATCTCCTTTAATTAGCTTAGTAGATGAAATATAAAAATGGAACAACCAGATAGTTTATTTTTCTGTTTTAATTATTGAAACTTTAAAAAATAAGTTCTGCCCGGCCGATGTGGCTCAGTAGTTGAGTATCGACCCTGGCACCAAGAAGTTGCCAGTTCGAATTCCGGTCAGGGCACATGCCCAGGTTGTGGGCCCGATCCTCAGTGGGGAGCATGCAGGAGGCAGCCAGTTGATGTTCTCTCTCATCAATGTTTCTATTTCTCTTTCCTTTCCTCTAAAGGAAAATATATTTAAAAAATAATAATAAGTTCTGACTATTTATTTATTTATTTAAATCCTCACCTGAGGACATTTTTCCATTTATCTTCAGATAGAGTGGGAAGGAGAGAGACACATCTGTTGGTTGCCTCTCCCATGACTAAGGCTGGGGACCAAACTGCAACAAAGGTTCGTGCCCTCGACTGTCATCAAACCCGAGCCTCTTTGGTCCGTGGACCAACGCTCCAACTGCTGAGCCAAACCAGCCAGGGTTAAGTTCCAACTTTAAAAGGACCAGTGTACACCTATGATAATAAAGCCAGTGTCTAGGCAGATTTTTGTTTAATTTATATTACTTTTAATAAGCAAACAACAATGAAGAAAATATAGGTTGAAACGACTATTTCTATGCAGTGATATATCAGATGTACTCTTACAAGTTAGCTTGAAATTTCTGACTTTTGTTGTGGGAATGAAAATTCATGTCACATCTTTTAATACCTTTTTTCTTCATAATTATGACTAGGTTTCTAGAAGCTCTTAATCACTTTGAGAAAGCAAGAACCTTGATTTGTCGACTACCTGGAGTGTTAACTTGGCCCACAAGTAATGTGATTATTGAAGAGACTCAGCCAGGGAAAATAAAGGTAACCATATATTTCTGCAGAGAGCTTCTTGCTAACTATGAAAGCCCACCTGCACTGGCTGACTCAGGTATCAGAAGCTAAAGAGGTAGGAGCCTTCTGTCTTCAGCTCTCCTGTGGGCATTTCCCCTTTAAAGACCAGTGAGAATGACTAACATTTATGAAATGTTTTCTATGTGCTAGCCACACACCTGTCATATTTCATTACCTTTAATCCTCACAGCAGTCCTACCAGATGAGTATGATGATATTCCCATCTTACAGGGGATGAAGATTAAGTTTAGAGAGGTTATGTAAAGAGCTCAAGGTTAAACAGCTAGGAAATGGTAGAGCTGAAACTTGAATCTAGGCATTCTGACTTCAGTGTGCACTATTAAGCAGACAGGTACGCTTGCTGTCTCTATCAGAAAGGTGTAGCATTGTTGTTTCTTCATAGTTACTGTGGTTAATGAAATGGTCTTGAAGACTCAGAAAGTATAAATTTAGTCTTATATCCAGAAGCATAGGATGCTTTGCTGGTTTTTGAAAGACTTATGTGTGAATTGACGAGGATAGCCTTTAGTTGTAGTGAATCCTGGCATATGCTCAGAACCTGCTTTTGACTAAAGCTTTTAAAAGCACAGGGGTCAACTCTTACACCTCAATAATAAAAAGACAACTAATTAAAAAGTTGTCAAAGGATATAAATAGACATATCTGTTAAGAAGTTATACAAATAGCCAATGAACATGTGAATGGTGTTCAACAACATTAGCTATCAGAGAAATGCAAATTAAAACCATAGTGAGATGTTATTTCACACCCACTAGGGTGGTTATCATCAAAAAGGCAACCAATAACAAGTGTTGGCAGGGATATAGAGAAATCAGAACCCTCATACATTGGAGGTAGGATTTAAAATGGTGCAGCTGCTTTGGAAAAGAGTCTAGCACTTCCTCAGTGATTAGAGAATGAGTTATTATGTGACCCAGCAATTTCACTGCTGGATGTATACAGAGAAAAGAAAACACATGTTCTCACAAAAACTTATACATGAATGTTCATAGCAGTATTATTCATAATTGTCAGAAAGTGTCCATCAACTGATGAATGGTTAAAATGTAGTCTATTTACACAATTGAATGTTATTCAGCCACAGAATGGAATGAGGTACTGATGTACTGCAATGTGATTGAACCTCGAAAACATACTAAGTAGAAGAAGCCAGACACAAAGGCCACATATTTTGTCATTTCATTTATATGAAATCTCCAGAATGGACAAATATACATGGAGACAGAAAGTAGATTAGTGGTTGTGAGGAACCAGGAACTGGGGGGGAATTCAGGAGGGATTGCTAATGGGTATGAGGTTTCTTGTTGGGTGATGAAAACGTAAATTTAAATTGTGGTAATGGTCGTACAACCCTGTGAATATACTAAAAGCACTTTAAATATATGAATTGTATGTTATGTGAATGATATTTAACCCGAAGCTGGCATTAAAAAAATAAAACACAAAACACAGGCATCTTTGGGTTTTCCTCTTTAAACTAGATTGGGATGGAGGTATGGCAACTATTGATAACAAAAGCCAGCTTTGCGAGTATGGGATGAGTCTCTTGGAGGCTCAGGAACCGTGGGATGATTCTTCAGGAAAAGAACAAGTACAGGTGGCGGAGATTCTGGGAGGCAGGTGACGAACAGTGCTAGGATCCTGGGGAAGTGGTGCTGGGAAGCAGAATAGTAGTCTCAAGGGTTTATCTGCCTTGTCTGACTCCCTCAGATATGTAAAGGAGATTTCCAAGAGCTCTCTGTTGTAAAATGAGGTTTGATGGTTATAACAGGATAAGATTTTGATTCTGACTTTGAAATTCTGAAATTTTATTTTTTGATCCTTGCCTGCCCCCAACTCCCATCATTCTCTCTTGACACATCTTTGTATCAGCCTCCATTAAAAAGTGGTATGTAATTTATTCTTTTTTTTTTTATCCTCAACCGAGGACATTTTTCCATTTTTTGTTCAGACAGGGCGGGAGGGAGAGAGAGGAAGAGAGAGAGAGAGAAACATCGACGTGAAAGGGACACATCGAGTGGCTGCCACCCACACGACCAACCAGGGCCGGGGACAAACTGCAACCGAGGTACGTGCCCTTAGCGGAAACCGAACCCGGGGTCTCTGGACCGCAGGCCAACGCTCCAACCACTGAGCCAAACCAGCCAGGGCTATAATTTATTCTTGGCTAAAAAATGTTTAGTCATTTTTAGGCTGAAAGGGGGTGATTGAAATCACAAGCATTTTGATCAACAAATTAGTATTGTAGCAGTATCAATTTTGTTTATTTTTGTTTTAGATGCTCTTAGAGAAATTTATTGAAGAATGCAGGTTTCCTCCAGTGCCAGATGCTGTTTGTTGCTATCAGAAGTGCCATGGATATTCCAAAATCCAGATATACATAACAGATCCAGACTTTAAGGTAAATAATGAATGTACATTAGGACATTAACTTGCACAGTTGTGCCTTAAAATAAATTCAGAACAAATCCTGTAATCGGAAGCACACAAGTTCTCTGGCTTGCCAGCAGTTTTATGTCCTGTTGTCCACCCCTTCCCCTGACTTCTTTAGGTCTGAATCATCTTACATGGAAACCCAGACCTGCTGAAATTAACACCAAGAGCAGGGTGGTGTCCTGAGAAGGCAGGCTGGCTAATTCCATTTCTGCTTTCTAGCCACTGTGTCATAAACTGCCTGTTCCTAGGAGCACAGCAAACAAAACGAGATTATTGCCTCTGATTTGTTGCAATTCTAATCTCTTGTAAAATTTTACTCCAAGAATCTAAATGCCATTGTGATCACTGAACTGGCTCTCAGAAGCCTAAGTTTGGGACCAAGTCTGGCACTTAATTGAATGAAATAAGTTACTGGGCCTTAGTTTATTCAAGAAGATAATAGCTGTCCATTGTGGCACTGTCCCTAGTTAGACCAGATGAAATAATGTTTATAAAATATGTTATGCATTGCAAAGGATAATGCAACTGTAAGGTATGAAAATGTTTATGTCAGTCAAGCTCCGTATCTGTGCCACTAGGCATTCTGGGGTACAGAAGTATTGTTCTTCCTCATGGGGAAATGTGATGTGTAGTTATGTCTGCCAGGTGAGTGTACACAGCTGTCTCTCTATCTTAATAGGCATTGTGAGTAAGAGTGTGTATGTGAGAAAAAAGAGAAGACACCTTTAAAATATAAATTAAAAATTTGTTTTAAATCCCCAGGGTTTTATACGAATCAGTTGTTGCCAGTACTGCAAAATAGAATTTCACATGAACTGTTGGAAGAAATTAAAAACAACAACCTTTAATGATAAAATTGACAAGGTAAGGCTAATAAGATTGTCTGGAATTTTTAGTATGCTTATTTCACATTGATTTTTCCCCCCTGAGAATCTTAAGAGAATGTCTTAAATGAATGTAAATTCCTTGCTGTGAATTATAGACACAATCAGAAAGTTTTAAATTAAAACTTTAATAATAAAGTGGAAAATTAGTTTTTGTTTTTATTTAATATAAGTATAAATGCAGTAACTATAAAGATTGTCAATAAATTGTTTAACCAACTTTCACATTGGGAATGTTATGATAAAAAATAAATTTAATATCCAATTTTATTTATTTATTTATTATTAATTTTTTTTTCTTTTTTTTTTTTTACTGATTTTAGAGAGAGAGGAAGTGAAAGGGAGAGAGAGATAGAAACATCAATGAGCGAGAACATCAACTGGCCGCCTCCCACATGCCCCCCACTGGAGGTTGGGCCCACAATCTGGGCATGTGTCCTGGCCGGGAATCGAACCAGTGACCTCTTGATGCATGGGTCAATGCTCAGCCGCTGAGCCACACCGGCTGGACTTAATATCTAATTTTAAAATACAGGTCTTGAATTATGTGGCTGTGTTCTTTGTGTCTGAATCTAAGTTGCCTGGAACATGTTCTTGTGGCAGAGGGTAAAGGTCAGTGGCCAGTCCATTCAGTGTTTCTGAAAGCTTTTGCTAGGATATGGTGTACATCCTATCAGCTCTCCTTCCATTGACCAAAGCAAGTCATGTGGTCAACCCTATAACCAATTTTCTTTCCCCAGGGAGGCTCTGAAAGTCACATGGCAATGAGCAGGGACTTTCGGTGCCTCCCTGAAGGAGTTTTAGACCATGTTTTAACTGCTCCTGACAGTTAAAATGGTATACATGTATAGATTTATTCTGATATCTAGCACTTTTTTTTTTTAATCAAATAGGATTTTCTGCAAGGAATTTGTCTTACCCCTGACTGCGAAGGTATCATTTCTAAGATTATCATCTTCAGCAGTGGTGGTCAAGTTAAATGTGAAGTAAGTCTCTGATTAAGGGGAAATCTTATGAAATTGATAACGAGAATGCTTACACTTTTAAAGCATGATTTAAATGTATGGCAGTTGTACGATTTGGATCTTGTCTTTTCCAGGAAACAAGTACTTAATTACTTAATTTCAGAAAATATAGGAACTATTAAGATGTGAGAATGCTTCTTTGCAATAAAGGATTTTCACATTCTTTTCTTTCCCAACAGGAAAAGGAGGCTTTTACATTTTAGTTTTACTGTTGTTACTCTTTCTTTGACCTTGTTTTCTTTGTCCCTGGTAAACTTTCGGGTATTTGGGGGGTGGAGGTCCTTAGGGAGGACCTTTAACTGGTCTATATGGGGGTGGCAGGAGTGGGTTGTTGTAATGATATTTATAGTATATTTTATCTTTGCTTACTTTTAATGTAAAAAATATTTCTCGCTAAAGTATGTCTGCTCTCTTGTTTCTCTTTTCAGTAAATTGTTTTGCTAAAGTTTTCTGGGCTTTTGTCTAGGTCATAACATCATCACTGTTCTTTGCCAAATTGATCATTGACTGTGTGTGCTTCTAACATGCTTGTTACTTGTGGTTTTGTGCTTTGTCATGGGAATGAGTATGAGACACATTTTGAATGTCTTTGTTTTATTTAAAGTTTGAACACAAGGTCGTGAAAGAAAAGGTTCCTCCGAGACCTATTCTGAAACAGAAGTGTTCTAGGTAAGATTTTAAACAATCAGTAGATTAATAATGTCTTTTACAATATAATTCTATTAAATGCAGATTTCTAAATTATACTGTTTTTTAAAATTGGCTGTGCACACATGTCCAAATAAGTGATTTATAAATTTTTATGGATATGTAAAACTTAGAACTAGCCTGGAATGGTTAAATACTAAAAACTTAAATCAGAAACCTTATTTAGTGATTGGATTCATAAGTAAAATTATGACATTTGATGCTGTGAAATGACGTTCAATTAGTAGATTTGGCAGTTAAATAAAAAGTGGATACTTGGCTCTCAGTTGTTTAAACTTCAATTCCAAAAGCATATCTTCTTTTTAATTTTTTTTCCTTTATTGATTTTTAGAGAGAGAGGAAGAGAGAGGGAGAGAGAGATAGAAACATCAATAAGAGAAAACATTGATTGGCCGCCTCCTGCATGCTCCCCACTGGGGATCAGGTCCACAACCTGGGCATGTGCCCTGACCGTGAATTGAACTGGTTGAACTGGTGACCTCTTGGTGCTTGGGTTGATGCTCAACCACTGAGCTACACCGGCCATACAAGCGTATTTTCTTTTTATCTCTCTTCAACAAACATTTTGAACCAATGACTTATTTCTCACACTGAAATACTCAACCTACTGTCAAAATTATTTCTTTCTTTGTATCTTCTTATTCAGATCAAATAATATTAATGTTTCTTGCTTTTCTTTTTGGTACTGCTTCTTGTTTTCCATTCTAATAAGTGATTTTTTTTTTATCATTGGACCAAGAAAAAGCAAAAGAAAAGATGAACAGACTTACTTGTTGAAGAGAATTCATTGTAACCATATCAACCAAATTCTGTTTTTGTGGGACATTACTGGAAAGTGAAAGTAATAGTTTATTGTGGGGTCCTTTTGTTTTTAATTGTTGTTCCTCACCTGAGGATATTTTTTTCCATTGATTTTTTTTTTTTTTTTTTTTTTTTTAGAGAGAGTGGAAGGAAGGGGGAGGGAGGGGAGAGAGAGAGAAACATCAATATGAAAGAGACACATCGATTAGTTACCTCCCGAATGTGCCTCCACCAGGCCAGTGATCAAACCTGCAACCCAAGTACCTGCCATTGACCAAAATCAAACCCGAGACCCTTCAGTCCATAGGCCGTCGCTCTAACCGCTGAGCCAAACTGGCCAGGGCTCACTGAGGTTCTTGTTTTCATGAAACAAGTACCTTTAGTTTGACTGAAATGACTACATGTGTGAACAGTTTTTGATGTTGAACAGAAGATGCAGGCTAAGTTATAACTAAAAAGGAACACATCTTTTTTTCACCCGAGGACATTTTTCTACTTTTGTTCAGATAGAGTAGGAGGGAGAGAGAGGAAGACACACACACACACACACACACACACACACACACACACAGAGAAAGATCGACGTGAAAGGGACACATTGAGTGGCTACCCCACTCAACCCCACACAACCCCAACCAGGGCCAGGAACAAATTACAACTGAGGTACATACCCTTGACCAGAATCAAACCCACAACTCATTGGTCCAGGGGCTGACACTCTAATCACTGAGCCAAACCAGTCAGGGCAGAACACATCTAACTTAGAGAATGGTTTCTGTAGTAGGCAAAGGAAAATAGTTAATTGAGTTTATAACGAAGGTAAATTATCACTAATTATAAATGTTTATCAGCCTAGAAAAGTTAAGACTGAAAGAAGACAAAAAATTGAAGAGAAAAATCCAGAAAAAGGAAGCAAAAAAATTAGCACAAGAAAGAATGGAAGAGGACTTAAGGGAAAGTAATCCACCCAAAACTGAAGAGCAGAAAGGTATGCTGGAGTCCGAGGCATGATAAAAACAATGTATTTTCCCTTAAACTTTTAATGTAAATATTCATCTTACTGGGCCTTATGTTGTTACTGAAGTGAAATTTAGATTTCAGTTTATATTTTAATACTATTGTGATAGGAAGTGCTATAAAGGGCACTGATTTTGGAAGCAGTACATGGGGATTCAAAACACTGCCTGCCACTAACCTGGGGCACATGCTGTTTCCTCATCTCTGAACTGAAGGTGGAAATACTGTGACCATGAGTGGTGTATGTTTGACAATGGTCTGTAGACTCCGCTGTGTGGATTTAAGCTCTAAAACTGTGAACCGTAAATTCACTACTAATTACCTGAAATAACACTTAATTCAAATAAAGAAGCTGTTCATACAAGGTACCATATAGGTTGCCTAGTCTAGCCTTTTGTTTTATGCTCATCTTGTCATCATTCCATGATCAGCATGGAAATGCATCTGGTAATTTCACTGTTTCTGTGGACATGTTGATCTGTATGTTTACTTCCAGATGAGTTGAAATAAGTTATTCTCATCTTCTACATTGATGGCCATCTATAAAATGAAATATTTCCTCTGCTGTCTTTTTTTTCCCATCTAGTATTCCATTAATGTTTCACCAATCAACCAAAATGATCTTTCTTGCTGAAAAAGTTTTCAGTGAATGTTGGTATTTTAACTTTGCATGCTTCAAGAGGCTAAATGGTCATCCGTTAGGGAAATGAGTGGGTGGGAAGAGATACCTCTGAGATATTTTCCAGCTTGTAGTCAATGAGTCCACAGGTCTGCAGTTTAGGATCCAACAATAAGATGAATAATACAACAAGAACTACAAATAGTAATTGACTCTGTTACTGAATAAATGATCCCTTCAACTTAAAGAAGAACACCTTTGTATTCTTAATGACTAAACGTGTTTATAGGATATAAATTCTTGGTAGCTGATGAGGCTGTGTTAGAATGGGTGAGGGAAGTAACCTTATTTTAAAAGAACTGAAATTTTAGATATTACCTGAGTGGTAATGGAGTGAAGGAGATAAAGTACTTTTGATTTGTTTTGTTTAACATGAAGTTTCATATTTTTTCAAAGGTATTGTTAAATATAGGGTGAGGCAAAAGTAGGTTTACACTAGTGAGTAAGCAAAACAGTTTATTCTTGTATTCTTATTTTTATTTATTTTTTTAATCCTCACCCAAGGACATTTTTTCCATTTTTTGTTCAGATAGAGTGAGGGGGGGAGAGAGAGAGAGAAACATCGACGCAAGAGAGACACATCGACTGGTTGCCACCCACACAACCCCAACTGGTACCGGGGACAAAGAACAACCGAGGTGCGTGCCCTTAGCGGGAACTGAACCTAGGACTCTTTGGTCCATGGGCCGACGCTCTAACCACTGAGCCAAGCTGGCCAGGGCACGTTTCATTATTTCTTTCTGAGTTTCTGTCTTTGCAAGTTGGTCCTATTTCTCACTGTAACTGACCACTGTGGTTTATTCTCAGAAACTGTAGCCAGTGTTGAGAGTTGCCAGTTCCTGGACGACAGGATTCTGCAGTGCATCAAGCAGTATGCAGACAAGATTAAATCTGGTGTGCTGAATACGTCCAAGCTCCTCAAAGAACTGCTTTCGTGGAAGGTTTTAAGCACAGAAGACTACACAACCTGTTTTTCCAGCAGGAATTTTCTAAGTGAAGCAGTGGACTATGTCATTCGTCACTTGATTCAAGAAAAGAATAGAGTCAAAACAAGGATATTTCTGCATGTTTTGAGTGAGCTTAAGGAAGTGGAGCCAAAATTAGCCACCTGGATCCAGAAACTTAATAGCTTTGGTATGTCACGTACTTCCAGGGATGCAGTTCAGTAGGAAGGATAAATGTAGGCCTCTGACTCTTTGTTGTTGTTGTTTTCCGATCATCATTTATGATTTTTTTAAAATGTAGGACTGCACATTATTATGGTTAAAAATACTGTTTTCCCAACTCACAATATTTAGCTTTTTCATAGAAAGATTATACTTTTTCAAAAGGTATAAACATAGTTCAGTCACTTTGGAAACCTGGCCCCATACTGTGCTCAAGCATTTGTAAATGTGTAAACTGAAGACCAGGCTCACCATGGGTGGAAGCACCTCCTGGAGTCAGTTCTCTGTGCCCTCTGGGATTGTGCAGTTCAGAAGTCTTGATTCCTTAATGAAAAATTTAGAGGGAAGAGTAGATGGAATAATTGTTCAGGATCACCCAAGGCAAATCTACACTTAAGGAGTAATCGATATCTAACAGGAGAAGAACACCTGGGTTGTTGTAAACCACAGGATTATAAAGCTATTACTTTGTCCTGCTTTCTCTAACTTGGAAAACCCGCAAGCAGGCTCCGCCCAAGGTCCTCAAGAAGGGACTAGGAAGGACTGCTGCAGGCAGAGTTGTTGTCTGACACCACATAGTGATTTCCTGGGTACCTACCCAGGCCCTGTTCCTCTTGGCAACTGGCCTCACCCAGTAGGTTCACTGGGCAGCTGTTAGATAAAAGGCCAGCGCCAGAGCAGGGCCTTGCAGCAGCCTGCGGTCCAAAGAGTGAGCCTGCTAGGCCCCCGCGAGCCATCGACCTGCCGGAGGTTTTAGAGGCCTGAGCTCTGAGGATTCTAGGGTTTCAGAGGAGATATTGGTAAATTTCTGGGTGGAGAAGATTAGGATGGCAGCAAGCTTGGCATAGGTTTTCATGGTGTTCTGTCCCCAGAAAATTACTCTCTAGGGATGATTACCTTTGGTGTCTATTTAACAACCTGATACGTAAATTATGAAGTTACTTCTTTCTTTAATCTGCTTTATAAGATAGACTTGAGAGAAGTAGGCTTATCTGAGTGTTCACCAGTGTCCATTCACGTAGGCGGCAGCCTTTGAGCCGTATAGCTCACCGACAGGAGAACGGGAACATGCTTTGGATATAGTTTACGGTTGTTCTGAAGAGTAAAGGTAGCATTTTAATGAGTATATATGCATACTATTTAAAATTGAAGTTTCTATTTCACGTTGTAAAATGGGTTCAAGCATGTTAATAAGTAAGGCTGTATTATAGCCCTAATGTAAAGCTCACTTTTATTGAAAGCAAGTAATTTCCAGTTCCTGGAATTTTACTTTCTTCTCACAGGAAGTCTGTACAGTGGAGTCACATATGCATGTTTATCACAGGAGGTCAATTTATACGCAGGTGGAGGGAGGGAAGGAGGGGAGAAGGGAGGGTTAAGGGGAAGAGAAGGGGAAATGAACATTTCAGTCCTAGGTGTGATCTGCCTCCCCTCACTGAGTATATGCTTTTCTGTGAGTCTCAGATGTGAATGTGGTTTTCTTCATAGGCGATCCCTTAAACCTTGTATGAGTATTTTATGTGGTCTCTGATTCTGATGTTTAACAGTAGTAATTTTTCATGTAACGTGACCTGTGCCTGCTAACATCTCATCTGGAAGAAACAGCCATGCAGGGTAATTTTGATTCAGCAGTCTGCTTCATGTGCTTGCTGAGAACCTGTGGCCTCTCATAGGAGGGGACTGCTGTATGAAAGGCATGTGGGAGGGAGGGCAGAGCGAACCTTTGCCTTTCGGTGGCTGTGTTGGTAAGCAGGGGTTCACCATACTTTCAGTAGTAGTGTATGGGGTTGCAGCCGCCCTTTTTCTGATATGGACGAGGGGGAATAAGGTGGGAATGGTGATTGAGCACCTTAACTTTTGTGAGGACTTAGGAACCATGATATTTTGGGGAATATGAAGCAGTTCTTGGAGGTGTTGACCCATTTCCAGTTTTAAAGGTATTTGGGAAGCTTGTGCATACTATTGATGTTTTGTACTATGTAGAAAAGCATTGTGAAATCTTGCTCGTTTGTAATAATTGGAATGAAAGTCATTGTGAATTAGTGAAAAGGTTATTGCTCTATTTTTTAATGAATTTAATGCCTTACTTTCTAATAAAAATAACTAAGTCTAATAAAAATAACTAATAGTAGAAGCCTTTGTCCTACCTTATTCAACTAATAGATAAGAATTATTGTAATTAACATATCAGTGATAAATGGTGTTTCTGAAATTTATAATAGCTTAAACAAGTTTGTTCTCAAGTATTTACGTTTTCACTGCCATTGTAAGCAAACTGTATGGAACCATCTTCAAAGATGTGAAGGTGAATGTGATTTTATAGTAAGTGGTTTTTCCTTCTGATTTGGGCTTTGTTTTTATCACAGGTTTAGATGCCACAGGATCTTTTTTCTCTCGTTACGGAGCGTCTCTTAAGGAGCTTGATTTTAGCATCATGACTTTTCTCTGGAATGAGAAATATGGTCATAAACTAAATTCTATAGAAGGAAAGCAACTCGACTACTTCTGTGAGCCAACATCATTGAAGGAAGCCCGGTGTTTGATATGGCTGCTGGAAGAACACAGAGACAAGTTCCCGGCATTACATAACGCTTTAGATGAATTCTTCGATATCATGGGTATGTGGGTCAAGGTTCAGGTTATCTTATACCTAATCTTAGGGGGCAAAAATCTGTGGAGGACCTAATTTAGTTAGATACTTCACCAAGAAAATAGTGAAAATTATTATGATAAAACTGGCTTATGTGGGGTGGACAGTGATTAAGAATAGTCATTTTTTCATGTTGTAAAACCTTTTACTCTATGGAACTAAGTTGTAGCAATATTCAGATGGGTACATTACACTGACCCTCCCATCACTGTTCTCACCGTAGATATTTTGACAGCGTCATGGCAGAGATTGATTGCATGTTATATTGACAGGATTTATTAAGAAATGATTTGATTTGTAGCAATCAGGGAAACAGTGACTTGCAGTAGGTGAGGCTTGCGGACTCTAGAACAGACAGATGGCACATCTGCTGTAGTGGGAGTAGCTGGATCTGAGAGTCAGGAAAACTGAGCTCTGGCTCAGCCACCTCCCTCACTCATTTTATTAAAGAGCTTGTTTTTACTGCTGCTTCAAGGCCCATGCTAGGTGTTAACAAGAAATTCAGAAATGCTTATGCTAGTCCCTGCCCTCAGGAGACCTTGTGATCTACAGAAGGGAGTAAGATGAACATACATGTAATGTGGGGGTAAGCTTAGTGAGAGAGGACCAGAGAAGTGAATTCAGACGAGAGACATCACATGCGTTCCCTCAGGAAGAGGAAAGCCTGGTGTGAGGGTGGGGTCCAAGCTGGAGGTGGAATTGGACAGGCTGACCTCCAGATTCAGAGAGGATGGAGGCAATCGGGAACCTGTTTGGGTAAGGGCTTGGAGCCCAGTTTGGCAGAATAGGATAATTAGTAGTTAATTCCTTAGCTTCTCTCTCTCTTTTTTTTTTTTTTTGTCCTCACCTAAGGACATTTTTGCATTTATCTTCAGATAGAGCGGGAGGCATAGAGGGAGGAAGAGGGAGAGAAACAACGATGCGAGAGAGACACATCAAGTGGTTGCCACCTGCATGACCCCAACCAGGGCCGGGGACAAACTGCAGCCAAGGTACGTGCCCTTAGCGAGAACCGAACCTGGGCTCTCTGGTCTGCGAGGTGACGCTCTAACCGCTGAGCCAAACCGGCCAGGGCTCCTTAGCTTCTCTTGATTCTTAGTTTCCTCATCATGAAAAGAATTTGGAGCCAACGAGCTGTAGTCCCATTTTGCTTAAATTCTAACATTTTAGATTCTAAATTAATTTGAATTTCTTATTTTTGCTACTACATGTATGCCAAGAGGCCCCTCCCCTTTCCCTCAGCATCAGAAGTCAACTTTATTGTTAGGCATTAGACTGTCAGATTTCATGCTGTTTGTTTTGGAGTGTACAATAAAAGGTCTGGTCCTGTACAGACGTGCCATATGTTACGAAGTTCAAATGCAATACAAGGAACCAAAAAGCTTACTTTTGTTGTGGTTCTTAGGAAGGAACACACGTATAGATGGCTTTATTTTTCCAGGGCACTGCTTCCTGACCGGAGAGGACATGTTACTTGACAGCCTGAATTTATTGCCATCAGCTTGTTGCTGCTGGTAATAAAATGCTGTCCAGGGACTGCTTATACAACCCAATGCATGTTTGGATCACACGACAAGACAACTAAAAAGGACACAGTTCTCACTGTGCCTTTTTTCTGATTCTGGTGTTCTGTACCTAAAACTCACAGTCTGTCTGGCTGTGACTCTGTCTCTGCCCTCAGTCATAGAGTCGGAAGCCACCATCCAAATGACTGGCCAACAGATTTTCAAGTCCCATAGCTCTGCTTCTCACCTTTACTCCAGACATTTTCAACATTATCTCTTTTCATTAGAAGTACTTATATTTCTTAAAAGTGTAAAAAGGCCCTGGCCGGTTTGGCTCAGCGGTTAGAGCGTCGGCCTGCGGTCCAGAGAGACCTGGGTTCGGTTCCCGCTAAGGGGCATGTACCTCGGTTGCAGTTTGTCCCCGGCCCTGGTTGGTCGAGCGGGTGGCAGCCACTCGATGTGTCCCTTTCACATCGATGTTTCTCTCTCTCTCTCTCTGTTCCTCTCTCTCCCTCCCACTCTACCTGAACAAAAAATGGAAAATATCCTCAGATGAGGATAAAAAAAAAAGTTTAAAAAGTCCACTGATCTTATAAATAAAGATATTTTTTAGTGTCACCAATGGATGATAATTGGGAGCCCCCACCTTTCTCCTGAAGTCTAGATGCGTATTTCCCTGTTGAGAGGTCTGTGTAGAAAGTCAGGAGGCCCCTTGAGAGCAATGTGGCTGAACCCATTTATATCCCCCTTACTGAATTTATCTCACTTAAGAACATTGTTGTGTATCTTGTTTTTAAGCACGAAACCTGGAATTAGTCTCGATTTTTCCTTTTCCCTGTTACTTCATACCTAGTTTGTCAGCAGTCCAAGTGAGCTTTGTCTTGGGTATGTCCTTTCCTATTTATCTCTACTTTCCTAGGGCAGTATCGCAGTGATTTTTACATGATCACATTATTGCAGTAGCCTCCAAACTGGTCTACATGCCTCTAGACCCTCCCACTCCAAATTTGGCCTCCAGTGACTCTTGAAGAACATCTGTGTGATCCAATATCTGTTCTTTTTGGGAAGTACTTGCTTAGTTTTGCCTACAGATTTAATTCATGTCATGTATCTGGGCTCATCCTCACTCTGCCCATCTGCCTTCTGAATAAACACCCCATCAACTACAACTACTGTGCCCAACCTGCCCGGTTCTTTCCTGCCTCCTGTTTTTGTTCCTTCAGTTCCTCCAGCCACATCCCACCCTGTTGCTTGTTCATTTCAAGCCCCTTCTTCCCCGGTGTCCTTCCTGATCCCTACTTGGTCCTCTCCCCTTGAAGACTTTATTATTCCATCAGCTTCGTTCCCATTATATTTATTGTGGCAGTTAGCACACTGGGTGAAGGTGTTTGCCTGTTTGTCTTTTTTGTAGAACATAGATGTGTGGATGGCAGGGGCTGTTTTATGCATCTCTGTGTTCCTAGCACCCAACATAGAGTTTGGCACCTAGAAGGCACTCAGATTATGCTGAAATGGATTGAAATTTTGTAGTTCTTTGTAGTTGGTTTTCCATTCAGTTAGCCATTTCTCACCCTTGGTTTCTAAACTAGACTTGTGTCAAAGCCAAATGAGGTAGAACATAGTCTGTGTCACTGTGTTGGGGGTGGTTTTCTTTCAAGCTTTAGTGTATTATATGGCAATATTAATGGTCCATTTGCTCACAAAACTCTGTATCTCCCTGCAGACAGCCGGTGTACTGTACTGAGGAAACAAGACAGTGGTGATGTGCCAGTAAGTTATTTGATCACTTTATTTTTATTTATTATTATTTTTTAGAACAAATATTGCTGAGAGAGTCTCTGTTTTGGTTTGCTCACTTTGTATGTTATGTTCTAGTTTGTGTGAGCCAAAGGAAGAGGGGAGGGAGGACCCTGGCCGGTGTAGCTACATCATAGGTGGTAGCACTCCAGAACCAGACTTGGACTTCAGATGACAAGTACTAATTCACTAGAAAGCTAATCCCACTCTGCCTCTTGGAATTGGAGTGACAATCAGCACATGCTGAGGCTTACCTTAGAAATGGCCTTCAAGTTTCACAGCTAATAAATGTTCGTCTAAGAAATAGGAAAGCAGTTCTTAAGTCGTCTCCTGGCATAAAAATGAAAAGTTATCAGCAGTGGTGCAAATTTTTTTTTTTTTTTTTATCCTTACCCGAGGACATTTTCCATTTTTTGTTCAGATAGAGTGGGAGGGACAGAGAGAGAGAAAGAGAAACATTGACGTGAAAGGGACACATCGAGTGGCCACCACCCACACAACCCAAACAGAGCCAGGGACAAACTGCAACCGAGGTACATGCCCTTAGCGGGAACCGAACCCAGGTCTCTCTGGACTGCAGGCCGACGCTCTAACCACTGAGCCAAACCGGCCAAGGCTGTGGTGCAAATTTTAATGTTTTGCTGTTTAAGGAAAACAAAGGGACTTTGTTTTGAGTGGCTCCAAATTAAGTTTAACTTACAGTAATGCCAGAGTTGTCTTCCTTAGTAGGTTGTGGCAGTTTTCAAGCAGAAAATTGCTTGTTTACTGATTTTTTATGATCAAGTGATCTGTACTTGAAATTTTGTCTTAATCCATTCTATCAAATATTGCTCAACTACGTATAGGAACACAGCTAACATACCCCATGAGAAGTTAAATGCTTCTTCTAATTTCCCTGTTTGTGCCCCAGAGTCTGGCCAGATGCAAATGTTTAGTTTGCCTTAGTAACAGGAAAATCATTAAAGTATGATTAGCATATAAATAGAATTACTTTAAATGTTTGATTAATTACTTGAAATGACACAAACCTTGTTGAATTTGAGTTCAAAATGTTGGGACAATATAATTTTAGTTATAAGGCATCATTAAACTTTTTCTTAATTTTTATTATAAATCATAACAGCAGGCCTGACACACTATAGTGTTATTTTTGTGAAACATTTTATATAATTCAGTTTATGACCAGCCTGTGAAAATCAGTATGTTTATAATATATGGTAGATTGATAATGCTATTATTTAGTGTTCAATGATTTTCCCTCCCATTTTTTAGTTTAATTCTACCAAGATAAAAAACAAAGGCAAGAAAAAGAAGCCAAAAGATTCAAAGGTATGGAGTATTTTCTTATCTAAAATAATTGAATATATAAATTAGAATTAACCAATTCTTGGGATATTTTGAAGCATTTTGTTGAGATGACCTTTTAGGCTTTAAAGGTATTTTGGCAGTCTGCTACACTTTGAGGAAATTTAAGATTAATATTGTATGTAAGTAACTCTTAAAAGAGACTTTTATCTTTATTGTCCTTTTTATTTTCTGAATATTTCTGAGTAAAAACAATTGTCATAATGTAGGATTTTGTATGGGTGGTCACAGAGCAGGGTGATCAGGGCAGCTTTGGAATCAGATAGACCTGAGTTTATATCTTGGCTCTTGACCAATTATTATTTTTATTGCTGTTTTTATTATGTATGTGACCTTGGGCAAGTTATTTGACCTCTCTGTGCCCTAGTGTTATCATTTGTATGATAAGATATGGTACCTGTTATCAATAACTAAAATACTCAAAATAAAGGCAATGAATACTAATCATTATAACAAAGTCTCAAAATTGATAGGTTCCCTTCCTTGCTGTCACCCAAGGCCCTGCTCCAAGCCCATGGGATCACTGGAGCATTAGTTTTAAGTCTTACTGTGGGACTTCATGGCTGTCTTGTATTTGGGGTGTCAAGTAAGGGACAGGGATGGAGAAAGTGAACAGATACTGGGAAAATGAGAGCAGTCAATAAAACTGATGGGAGTTTAAGCTGAGTGACATTTAAATTTTTTTTGGAGTGTAGGAAACTACATAAATGTTCATTTGGGCATATTTATGGTTGTTGAAAATTTTATTATGTGTTCCTATTCACAAGACAATTTAGATAAGTCTCATACATTGTCAATTTGCATGTCTATTTATGTAAGCATTAATCAGTTTTTGTGGTAATTCTAAGATAGAAACTTATTGCCATTCTTCTGTCTTTTAAACCAGCCTATGTTAGTTGGGTCTGGAACAACTTCAGTAACACCTAATAATGAGACTGTTGCTTCAGGTGAAGACCATAAGTAAGTACAACTTAAAAATTTTTGCTTCATTTTAAATCAAGTGTTCTAAGTTAATAAAGTGATGTTAATTTAATGTACTTTAAATTTGTGTTTTCCCTAACTTCTCTGTCTAAAGATAATGCATCTAGAATGACAACCTCACGTGACCCACCTTAGTTGAATTTATAGCATGGCTTGTCAACGTTAAGAATTCATAGAATCTGCCCTGGCCGGTTTGGCTCAGCAGTTGGAGGGTTGGCCTGCGGTCTACAGAGACCCGGGTTCGGTTCCCGCTAGGGGCATGTACTTCGGCTGCAGTTTGTCCCCGGCCCTGGTCAGGTTGTGCGGGTGGCGGCCACTCGATGTGTCCCTTTCACGTCGATGTTTCTCTCTCTCTCTCTCTTCCTCTCTCTCCCTCCCACTCTATCTGAACAAAATATCGAAAAATGTCCTCGGGTGAGGATTAAAAAAAAAAAGAATTCATAGAATCTGCATTAAAATCACAAGGCTTGCCCTGGCCGGGTGGCTCAGTTGATTAGAGCATCATCCTGTACACCAAAAGGTTTCGGGTTCAGTTCCTTGTCAGGGTACACACTAAGGTTTCAGTTTCAATCTCCAGTTGGGGTGGGTATGGGAAGCAACCGATCAATGTGTCTGTCTGTCTGTCGCTCTGTCTCTCACCCTCCCTCCCCCGCCTTCTTTCTCTAAAAAACAACAGCCCTGGCCAGTTTGGCTAGATCCTCAGTAGGAGGCAGCCAATCAATGTGTCTGTCTCTCTCTTCTTCTACCTTTCTCTCTCTAAAAAATCCATAAAAACATTTTTTTAAAAAGCTCATTGTAGAGAATGTTTTATTGATAATTACTAGCATATTTGCCAAAATAGGAGAGATGGAGATGTTTTGGAAGTTATATACGATGTAATGGTTTATAAAACCTTAGATGTCAGTGATTTTTCATAACATCTGATTGTTGAAGCTAGGTTTTCAAGAATCAAATAGACATAAGAAGAAATAAAACTAGTGAGTAGCAATGACCTTTTTATATCATATTCCTTTATGGGCCAAAGCCTACAAAAAAAATGTTTGGTTTTACCAGGCACTATTCTAAGAGCTTTGCATATAGTATAACTCATTTAATCTACTCTTACACTCTAGGAGATAAAGGGGATGGGGTGAGGGAGATGGGGAAGAGGGTGTCAATGGGGAAACAAAGGAGAAACATCTGTAACAAAAATAAATTAATTAAAAAACAAAGAAGAAAAAAGAAAACCAGTGCACAGTGTAGTTGACTGACAAGCCCAAGAACATAGCTTGTAAACAGCAGGGCAGAATTTAAACCCAGCAATCTGGTTTAGAGCCCACACTCAAATAGCATCTTTTTAGAGTGCTAGAATCTTACCCTTTTTTTAAAACAATATTTTTATTGCCCTGGCCCATGTGGCTCAGTAGGTTGGTCATTATCCCATGCACCTAAAGGTTGCCAGGGCACATGCCCAAGTTGTGGGCTGTATCCTCGGTAGGGGCATGCAGGAGGTAGCCGATGGCTGTTTCTCTCTCACACATCGATGTTTCTCTCTCTCCCTCTCCCTTCTACTTTCTCTAAAAATCAATAAAAAAATTTTTTTTTAATTTTTTTATTAAGTACTTTTCACCAGTTTCAATCTTACTTTAATTTAAATTAATAGCAATTATAATAAAATATTTCATTTTTCTGTTTAACAAGTTACAGTCAGTGCAACATTGGTTATTTATTTTTAAACAAGGAGTTTTTAAAATTTGCTCTTGGTGGCAAGAGTAAGTAGTTAATTAAAAGTGCTTATTTAGCCCTGGCCAGTTTCGCTCCGAGGTTAGAACATCAGCCCGTGAACCAAAGAGCCATGGGTTCAATTCCGGTCAAGGGCACATACCTCGGTTGCAATTTAGTCCCGGCCCTGGTTGGGGTCATGCAGGAAGCAGCCAATCAATGTTTCTCTCTCTCTCTTTTTCCCTACCTCTCTCCCTCCCTCCCTACCTCCTGCTCTATCTGAAGATAAATTGAAAAATATCCTAGGGTGAGAATTTAAAAAGTAAATAAATAAAAGTGCTTACTCAGTAGTCAGGTACATATATTTCTTGACTCTAACTGTAGAAGGGTAACTTTTCTGCATTAAATTCTCTGGTAGTGTTGGTTTTTTTTTTTTTTGCATCAAATTGCCATGTGATTCTTATACACCAATAATGAACACTCAGAAAGAGAAACAAAAAAATTTCATTAACCATTGCAACCAGAAAAATAAAATACCTAGGAATAAAATTAATCAAGGAGATAAAAGACCTGTTCTCAGAAAACAATAAGACATTGAAAAAAAGAAGAAGAAGATATAAGAAAATAGAAATATATACCATTTTATGGATTGGAAAAATCAACATCATTAAAATGTCCATACTACCCAAAGCAATCTACAGATTCATTGCAATCCCTATTAAAGTACCAATGGTATATTTCACAGATCTAGAATAAACACTCCAAAAATGTATATGAAACCATAAAAGACCCCAAATAGCCACAGCAATTTTGAAAAAGAAGACCAAAGTGGGAGGCATCACAATATCAGATATCAAGTTATACTACAAAGCCATTGTAATCAAAACAGCCTGGTAGTGGCACAAGAACAGCCATTTATAGATCAGTGGAACAGAACAAACAACCCAGAAATCGACCCGAGACATTATGCACAATTAATATTCGACAAAGGAGACAAGAACATACCATGGAGAAAAGACAGTCTCTTTAATAAATGGTGCTGGGAAAATTGGACAGCTATATGCAAAAAAAAAAAAAAGACCACCAACTTAACACCATACCCAAGAATAAACTCAAAATGGATAAAAGACTTAAATGTAGCCTGTGAAACCATAAAAATCCTAGAAGAAAATGTAGGGCAGAAGAATCTCATCATATTTTCACTGATACATCACCTAGGGTAAGAGAAACAATGGGAAAAAATTAATAAATGTGACTACATCAAACTTAAAAGCTTCTGCATGGCAAAAGAAACCAGCATCAAAATGAAAAGGGAACCCACTCTGTGGAAGAACATATTTGCCAACGATACATTGGATAAGGGGTTAATATCCGAAATATATAGAGTACTCATACAACTCAACAAAAGGAAGACAAGCAATCCAATTTAAAAAATGGGTGGAGGACATGAACAGACACTTCTCTAAATAGGACATACGAAAGGCCAGGAGACATATGAAAAAATGCTCATCCTCTCTAATCATCAGAGAGATGCAAATTAAAACGAATTAAACAACTTAAGATGCGATATCACCTCACACCTGCCAGAATGGCTGTTATCAACAAATCCTCAAACAACAAATGCTGGCAAGGATGTGGAGAAAAGGGTACTTGAACACACTGTGGGAATGCAGACTGGTGCAGCCACGGTGGTAAACCGTGGTGTTTCCTCAAAAAATTAAAAATGGAACTGCCATTTGACCCCGTGATCCCACCCTTCAGAATATATCCTAAGAAGCCAATCAGGAAGAATATATGTACCCCTATGTTCATAGCAGTGCTATTTACAATAACTAAGATCTGGAAACAGTCCAAATGCCCATCAGTAGATGAGTGGATAAAAATGTTATGGTACAGCCCTGGCCAGTTTGGCTTAGCAATTAGAGTGTTAGCCTGCAGACTAATGAGTCGCGGGTTTGATTCCAGTCAAGGGCACGTACCTCAGCTGCAGTTTGTTCCCAGCCCTGGTCAGTGTCATGCAGTAGGCAGCCCTTTGATGTGTCCCTCTCACATCAGTGTTTCTCTCTCCCTCCCTCCCTCCCACTCTAGCTGAAGATAAATAGAAAAATATCCTCAAGTGAGGATTAAAAGAAAAAGTTATGGTACACTTACACAATGGAGTACTATGCAGCTGTAAGAAAGAAAGATCTTTTACCCTTTGAAACGACATGGAGGGGCCTGGAGGGTATTATGCTAAGTGAAATAAACCAGAGAAAGACAAGTACCACATGATCTCACTTATTTGTGAGCTGTCGACCAAAAGTGATCCAGAATCATGGAAGTAGAGAACAGACTGATGAACCTCAGAGGGATGGGAGGTGGGAGGGGAGGGGAGAGATAAACCAAAGAACTTATATGCATATGTGCACAACAGTCAACATGGACATTAGGCTGGGGAAGGCAGGAGGGGGTCAGTGGGGAAAAAAGGGGGACATCTGTGATACTTTCAATAAAAATAAATAAATAAACATATCGACTTAAAAAAAAACAAATTGCCATGTAATATGTTACTATCATTATGTTTATTTCAGTTTAAATATGGATAGGACAGAAGTAGGTTTACAGTTGTGAGAATGTGAAACACAGTTTATTCTTGTATTGTTATTTATTATATTTTTCATGCAAACAACTATTAACCTGCTTTTGTCCCACCCTGTATTATTCTGTGTCACCAATTATTAATCACAAAATTGTTCTTTTATTAGCAGACGCAATTCAAATACTGCAGGCCCATTTGTAGTGCCTGACCATCTTCGGCAAGACGTAGAAGAATTTGAAGCTCTCTACGAACAACACAGCAATGAATATGTTGTTCGTAATAAGAAGCTGTGGGACATTAACCCAAAGCAAAAATGTTCAACTCTGTATGAGTGAGTAGAACATTTCTACAACTACTATTTTGTACCAAGGCAGCCAGTTAAAGATCTTAAGTTGTTTAATTTGTGTCCTGTATGACTATTAAAGGGATTGCTTATTGGCTTGTAAACTTTGGGGAAGAAAAATATTTTTACAGTTTTTGTTCAGTATTACACAAATGCAACTGAGGATTTGTAATTACTAAATTTAGAATCCTAATGTTTATTTTGTCAGTTTGAGCTGCTAATATAGATACTTTCTACTTCCAAACTGTCCTGATACGTCCTGATAGGACTGATAAAGTTTCCAGCCATAATAATTTTATCGTGAATTTCAAGGTATACATTTGACAAGGACTTGTATGATTATGTGATATTATCCTTATGTTGTTGCATGCATTGGTTTGGCATCTCATTTTAAGTCCAGTCGTGTAGCCTGGTGAAGTGTTACCCTCTGCTGGTAAAGGATGCCAGGATCTTGTTATTGCTCCTGCCAGGTAGTTGTTCAGCTGGGATGATAGAACACACAGAGAAAGCTGAGTCTGTATTGTTGTATTGGAGACTTGACCTCCTGACATTGATCTAGTAAAAGAGAAACTGACTTTCCTTTTGAAGTAACTTGGGTGTGGGTTACTTTTTGGTTGAAAATGTGAATGTGCTAATGTGAATGTGAAATTAGCACTTACAGCAAGTCTGAGTCGGGTGTATGAAACGGTGGAGCAAAGAGTTGAGGAAAATCTAGAAATTGCTATTTTGAGCTTGGCATTAAAAAGCAGTGCATGGCCCTGGCCGGTTTGGCTCAGCGGTTGGAGCGTCGGCCTGCGGTACAGAGAAAAAGCAGTGCATGATGCTTTCCTTAAAAGAAACTGGGGCAGTTCTGGCTGGTGTGGCTCAGTGGTTACATTGTCGGCCTGCACACCAAATCGTCTTGGGTTTGATTCGTGGTCAAGGACACATACCTGGGTTGCAGATTCAATCCCTGCCCCAGTCAGTGCATGCAGGAACCAGTCAATTGATGTCTCTCTCTCACATCAATGTTTCTCTTCCCCCCACCACCCCTCCCTTCCTTCCTTTCACTCTCTTTCAAAAAATCAATGGAAAAAAAGAAACTAACAAAAGAAGAAACAGGCTAAGATCAGCAATAGGAAATTAATGCAAAAGCTAACTATTCTCTTGGAAAACTAGTCACTCATCCATAATATGGTCATTTCTTCCATTTTCCTCAGTTGCAGCATTCCTGTTCAGTCTGGTTATATACTCTTGGGTTCCTCTTGATGATTTTTCTTTAGAGTTGAATTACTGAGAAAGTCATATTTCCAGAGAACTCCTGGATGACAGCATGGAAACAGCTATAAAAATACACTAGTATTTTTTTTTAAATGCTAGACTTTGCTTCAGGCATCCAGAACTGAAGCTAAACTGTGTAGGTTTCAGGAGCTTGCTTCTTACAGAATTTATTAACATTATTAGTGGGAAGAAAGTAAACAACTTTATGAGAAAAAAATAGGCTGATTTGTTTGTATTTTGAGATAGAATTTATGTCTTATAATAGGACAAAGTCAGTAGGTTATAGGGAGTCACCTCAAAACATAGTTCTTTTTTTGAATTTTCAGAAGTAAATGTGATTTCTTTTATTGGACATTGGAAAAAGAAAAATGAAGCTAAAGCTTTGTGTATGAAAAGAGTGTAGAGTAGAAAAATATTAGACAAGGAGTCAAGAATACCAGGATAACTTATGCTGTTAATTAACTTTTTCTTTAGTGGTGTTAATTAGTTTAGTCAGCCAAGAGTAAGGTTAAACACTGTGCGAGATTGTAGAAAATATAGTTCTCTCATGCAGCTTACAAATAGCAGGAGAGCTAAATTGATCATTGGTCAGATCACAGTGTCCCAAATGAAAATGACTCTATGAAGTAAGTATCACGAGCTTGGCCCTGGCTGGGTGGCTTATTTGGTTGGAGCGTCATCCCATACACCAAAAAGGTGGCAGGTTTGATTCCTGGTCAGGGCACATACCCAGGTTGTGGGTTTGATCCCCAGTTGGAATGCGTTCCAGAGGCAACTGATCAATGTCTCCCTCTCCTTCTCTCCATCCCGCTGTCTTACTCTAAAAAAAAAATACCATGTACTTGTAGAAAACAGTGATCTTCAAGGGAAAATGAGAATACTAGGATGGGAATGCTTTCTGAAATGTTTTCCCATTTATGTCCCTTTCCCATGTGTTGACAGTGGTATGCACTGGCCCTGTGCAAGTTCATCAGTGACCATTTAAGTCACTAATGGTCTCATCCACTTATGAAAATATATGTGCACATATAAACATATATACATAACAACTAGTAGTATCTCTGGTATGATTAATTTTTTGTAGTTTATTTTTACTTCTGTCAAGCTCAGTGTGCTTGCTCATGCTCACCTCTGATCCTGAAGTGCAGGAACACTATCCCTGTTAGAATCTGAGACTGTGAAAAGGGCCAAATGATGGAACAGGAGATGACTTTGTACCTTGGCAGAAGCTGAAATGATCCTGTCAGACTCCTGCATGTCCACTAAACAGCCACACCAGCACCACTGTTCGTGTGTTGATGGACAATTGGATTCTAATCCCTGTAACACGGTGGACTATTAAGAATCATATTTGTGCCCTGGCCGGTTTGGCTCACCGGTTAGAGTGTCGGCCTGCGGTCCTGAGAGACCCGGGTTCGGTTCCCGCTAAGGGCGTGTACCTCGGTTGCAGTTTGTCCCCGGCCCTGGTCGGTTGTGCGGGTGGCAGCCTCTCGATGTGTTCCTTTCACGTCGATGTTTCTCTCTCTCTCTCTCTGTTCCTCTCTCCCTCCCACTCTACCTGAACAAAAAAAAAAAAATGGAAAAATGTCCTCGGGTGAGGATGAAAAAAAAAAGAATCATATTTGTGCTGTTTTGGACCCAATGTTTATCTTACATTATTTTTCAAGGCCAGGAAAGTGGATAAATGGAATTGAAGTTCATTTTGGATTGCATTTCATATAATAGTAATTATAAAAATGTTACAATAAGGTTATAATATTATCTCTCTTTGGACTAAGACCCTTGTTGGATTCAATTTTGTTCTTCATTGAATGTGTGAAAAAGTCATTGTTACTTAAGCAGTGGACAAAATATGGAGGCTCTGTTTCTTTGAAAAAAAAAAAAGTTTTCTTGATTATAAAAGTAATAATACAAATTATTAAAATTAAAAAAAAAAAAACTAAAGTTGAGCCCTGGCCAGTTTGGCTCAGCGGTTAGAGCGTTGGCCTGCGGACCAGAGAGTCCTGGGTTCGGTTCCCGTGAAGGGCACGTACCTTGGTTGCAGTTTGTCCCCGCCCTGGTTGGGATTGTGTGGGTGGCAACCAGTCGATGTGTCTCTTTCACGTCTATGTTTCTCTCTCTCTCTCTCTTCTCCCCTCTTTCCCTCCTGCTCTATCTGAAGATAATTGGAAAAATGTCCTTGGGTGAGGACAAAAACAAAACAAAACAAAGTTGAAATGAAAAGAAATATTAATTCTGTCATCCAGATGTAACCAGTTACCTTGCGGTGTATATCCTCTCAGACTTTAAAATGTCTACGTGTGAAACATGTTTTAAAATTTGCCAACTATGGTTATACTATATGCTCAACTTTGACATTTACCTTTTTCACCTAAAAGTGCATAGTGAGCATTTATCATGTTCCTGACTATTCTTCAGGAACACAATCCGTTAGTTGCTCAGTGGCCATCACCAGATCAGTATCATCACTTACATGGCTGTTGAAAAGCTCTTTGCTGAATTAGAGAGTGATTTTCTTTCATGTGGTCTCTTCTTTAGTTATCCCATTTTGGATATAAGTATTTTTATCCAGGTAGAAAGCTTTATTTTTCAGTTATTTTCTTGAGTATCCAGCATCGAGAGAGAAATTAAATACATACACGTCATTGATGATTGTTGTGCTCTTGCTCAGTGGCAGCTAAACACCAGCTGGAAAGGTTTCTTCAGACAGATGGTGGGGTCAGTGTCATTCATAGCAGTCCTCCTGGAGGACTGTTCTGAGGCTGCCATGATTTAGTTCTTCGTACTTCACTCTCTTCAACCCCTTCTGCTTCTAGAAATGTCCCATTAAAAATGGAGTTTGATGGGAATCTTCAAGCAAAGACACATTTAGCCTTTTACCTTGCAAACGATCATGTATGTAGGGAAGTTTCAATTGTAGAAATTATCTTAAGGGGAAAAGAGTCATTAAAAAACACTTTAAAGACATTGGTAAGTATTTCGAGCAGCAGTGCTGATAGAGAAGGGGCACCGGGTCTTCATGCTTCCGGGTGTCAGTTGTTTGTAATTGCCCGATGTATTTATCTGCGGCAGCTTCTGCACAGAATGCGGTTTTCTTTTGCTTCAAAAAGTGGTGTTTTTACCTTCTAAATAACTTGTCTTCCTGGTTAGTATTTATTTACTAAGAAAGTTTCTTTGGAGATTTTTGCTCTTGAAAAGCCTTCTCAGTTGTATGTGGTATGTGTCTTTCTTGGTTATTACTCACTGTTAGGGACTGCATACCAAATTCAAATGGAGAAAGAAGCCTTTTTGAGCCTGAGACTGGAATGGGAAAAGAAAATATGTCAGAACTGTAGTGAACACGCCCAGTCCAGAGTTGGAGGCAGATTAAGGGATTGGCCCCATTACCATGGATCTGACCCTGTACTACATTGGTTTCTTGATCAGACATTATTGATTTCAGTACCTCTGAATCATTGCTTATTCCTAAACAGGGAAATTACTACATGCCAGTTTCAGTAGGATTTTTAGAAAATTGTGTTTCTTCTTCTTATTTGACATTTGTGTTACTATATTGTTTTTTTCTTGAATATTCTTTTCATTGTTTTTAAATAGATTGTGCCATTAAATAATTAAAATTTATAAAGTAAATTTAATCTCCTTTGTTTTTAAAGTTTTTTAAGGATCGAGGAATAAACAAAATTTTATTTATAGTATCACTGATTGTAGTTAGCTGTCCTCAGATTTAATATGAGTATAATGTTTGACTTAATATGATTATAATGTTTGTTGGGGAGGTACTGAGATAACCTCAAAATACAGTAGTATTTGCTTTGGGAGAATTTTGGGGGAAATATATTTTTTTAATGAACATGTACAAGTACTTATAATAACTTAAGTAAATGCAAATTTCTTCCCAGTTATTTCTCTCAGTTGTTGGAGGAACATGGTCCCCTGGATATGAGTAACAAGATGTTTTCTGAAGAATATGAATTCTTCCCAGAAGAAACTCGACAGATACTAGAAAAAGCTGGAGGTTTGAAATCTTTCCTCCTGGGATGTCCTCGTTTTGTTGTGATTGACAACTGTATTGCTTTGAAGAAAGTTGCATCACGGCTCAAAAAAAAGAGAAAGAAGAAAAACATCAAGACAAAAGTAGAAATGTCAAAGACAGGAGAGTATTTACGAGTTAAACTGCCACTGAATCCAACTGCTAGAGAATTTAAACCAGACATGAAGTCCAAACCAGTGTCCAGTTTATCTTCAGCACCAGCTTCTGAGGCTGTAAAGCCCAAACCTGGATCTGCTGATTATCCTAAACCAGCCTGTGAAGCTGAGAAGCCGATACCAGTATCTGAGAATTCTCATAGATCAGTTTCTGAGGATGAGAAGCCCAAAGAGGTCTCTCCCAGTTCTCCCAAACCAGTCTCTGAGGATCCAAGTCACCAGCGAGCCTCCTCTAATTCTCCCAAACCAGTTCCTGAGGATGTGAAAGCAACCTATTGGACTCAAGCCCACTTGGTCACAGGATTCTGTACATACCTTCCCTTTAGGGGATTTGACATTACCCAGCCACCACCAACATACATAAGCGTGGTACCAACTTTGCCCCCCCAGTACACTAACATTTACACACCTCTGGCCACTATTTCTCCTGAATATCAGCTGCAAAGGTCAATACCGGTGGTGCCATCTTTTGTAGCCAGTGACAGACCAGATCAAAGTGCTGCTGTGTATTTTGAGGGTCCTTGTTTGAATGCTGAGCATGCCTCTGGTAACCACATTGCCTCGCAGACACAGATCCCTCAGGACTCTTTGGAGATATCAGTAAAATCGCAGTGTGGCCCGGATGATAGTGATCCAGCCCAGAGTGAGCCCAGCGTAAATGATGATCACTGTGGAAATTCTGCCCACAAGCAGGAAGCAAACCCAGAAAGGACCGATGAAGCAACGAACATTCCATATACACAGGTGGTTGCCATACAGGTAAGACTAAAATAGAAAAATGTCATCTTAATACAGAATTAATTTTTTTCCCATTTTTTTCATTGCCATTATATTTACTAAAATTCTTTAAAGTGATTGATAATATAATGCTTACTAACACTTCACCTGAAAATGTTTTTAAAATACAATCCCTTTTGTGGAGCATGGTAGGTAATATTGTCAGAAAGAATTTTTGGGCCTAGTAAATAATGCCTTTGTTTTCTACCCCAGCTTTGTACCAGTTGAGAAATAAAGTAGAGGGATCAGTAGATGGAGCCAAAACATCACCTTAGTACTATTACAGGCACCATAGGAAGATGTGGCTCTTCCTGTGGGGAGTGCATGTCCTAACAAGAACTCCCAACATACCAACCTACTCTCCAGTTACAGCAGTGCGGGACCAGGAGGCCTCCCAACGTGGATGCCTGCCCCATAAGACTGGATAGAGAACAAGGGACAATGTGCTCTCTGCACATGCAGCTCCAAGAGGAAGGAAAAAGAGTCTGTATTACACATACCCAGTTTCTCCTACCAAAATTAGGGAGTAGTAAAGGAGTTAAGAGACAACCAGATGGAGAGAAACAGGAGGGAGGTTAATAAAAGTTCTTTCCTACAAGCATGAGAATAAATTGAGGTTCCTGTGCAGATAACTCTATAGGGCATGAATTCATTAAATGCTTATTGGGTTATCCCCATACGCACTAAGTTTTCTGTTTTCTAGAAAGCTTTGAAAAAATATGTTAAGAGTAATGAGTCAAAATCATTTCCATTTTTACTAATTGTAAATTCTAGCTCTTTCCTAATACAAATATCTATAGAAAGCATAGAATGTTATCTAAATGATCAAAAAAATAAAACTTGCAAAAATTGTGAGCATGTTTTTATTTTTTTTATTTTTTTATTTTTTTTTATCCTCACCCGAGGACATTTTTCCATTTTTTGTACAGATAGAGAGGGAGGGAAAGATAGGAAGAGAGGGAGAGAGAAACATCGATGTGAAGGGACACATCGAGTGGCTGCCACCCGCACGACCAACCAGGGCCGGGGACAAACTGCAACCGAAGTACATGCCCTTAGCGGGAACCGAACCCGGGTCTCTCTGGACCGCAGGCCGACGCTCTAACCCTGAGCCAAACCGGCCAGGGCTGTGAGCATGTTTTTAAACGGTATTACATAATGGATCTGTTTTACTAGAGCAATTGAGATAGATTGAATTTGAGTGTTTGTTTTGCCCCACAGGTATCTGGGAATATAGCTCATCAAGAAGTCAATACTGAGCCATATGATCCTTTTGAGGCACAACAAGTGAGTCAGAATTATATAAGACTGTTTGAAGGTTCAAATTTCATTAATTAATTAGATAGGAATGACTAATTAGAACTATTTTGGAGCCATCTAATTTCATATAAATCTTTATTATGAAATAAGCTTTAGAACATAACCAAAAAAAAAAATTCGTTTTGTTTTTATTGTTGGAATTTAGGAAGGAGAGGCAGAGTTGAAAAGGTAAGTTTTCTTTTTAGCTTATTTATTTCACAGTATAACGGCTTTAGTATTTAACTGGTATAATGAGTCTGTCTTAATTTATAAATATGAATGATATAGAAATTATTATAAAGACTATCACTTTTTTTAAAGAATGATTGAATTAGAAAATCTATTAATATAATTTACTGTGCTAATTAATGTACCTTAAGAGAAAAGTTATTTGATCAACTCCATAGTTGCTGAAATGTTACTAGAGAAAATTCAAATTTCTTTCTTGACTAAAGCTCATAATAATATGGGGATAGATGAATATGTCTCAGTATGCCAGTGTCTCTCTTTCTTAGCCAAAGCCATCATCTCTTTTGAAGGTGAAACATCACCATTAGTATTTACTATTATCCAGGAGATACAAGCTGACAGAATTAGATAAGAGAAAGAAGTAAGATTGTAAAGTGGAGGTGTAAGTATTATTATTTATAGAGGCTCAGGTTGTTTACCTGGATAATCTAAAACAATCACCTTGAAATTTAAAACAGCTACTTATATATTACTGAAAGAATGTAAAAATGTAAACTTCTGGGGAAGGCAGTTGGGAATTTATCTGCTGTCATATATGTATGCAGAGACCAGTGAACAAGGATATTTATGCTCTAGTCACTGACCAGACCCAGCCAAGGCTTAAAAAACAAATAGTTCTTGATGTTCATTCACATCAAAATGCTGATTTAATACTGAACCATTCTAAAACAAATATTCATAAATAGTTGTAGTACACATCAAAAAGTTTCATTATGAATAACTTTATTTTAAAAAGAGTTGGCTTGCCCGGCGTGTGTGGCTCAGTTGAGAATCATCCCATGCACCAGGAAGTCTCCAGTTCAATTCATGGTCAGGGCACATGCCCCGGTTGTGGGCTCGATCCCCAGTAGGGGGCGTGTAGGGGGCAGCTGATCGATGTTTCTATCTCTCCCTCTCCATCCCTCTCTCTGAAATCAATAAAAACATACATATTTTAAAATATACATGTATGTAAAAAGAGCTGGCTTTGCTAAACAGTGTTCACGAGCTTTTAATTCTTGAGTCATTGCCATTTCCCTTGAAATTGTTCATCTGCCTTTTATTCTCCTTTGTTTATTTTAAGAGACAGTTCAGAACAAGATCAGAATAGGCATTTTTAACTACTTTATTAGATAATCTTGTAATTTACTTTTAGGGAGATATTTCACAGATTGAAAAGGAGTACCAAGTTTTACAAGAGCAGCTTAAGGAAGCATGTGAAAATTATGAGCAGAGAAAACTGAAGGGCTCAGAAGAGACCAGGGACCTGGAAGAAAAGCTGAAAAGGAACTTAGAAGAAAACAAGGTAACTCTATCTGAAACCTCTCTTTAAGAGTACATGGCAAAATTAGGAGAATTATGCTTGTGTACCTCATCTAGCTGAGCTTCTGCATTATTGGCTAAACAAAGAATTCTTTCTCAATATTGCGTATTTCAAATTTCTCTATGACATATTAAAATGACAGTGTTTTTTGCAGCGTTCAGAACCTCTGCAAGTTACCATGGAATAAAAGGGCCGTAAATCTGGGTTTTCATTTACCTATAATTTAGTTTGCTTGATTAACCAAAACTATTTTTTGGTGACTAAGTTCCAAGTTAAATTCTTGTTTATATTGAGAGGCAGTGTAGCATTAGTGGTTAAGACTGTGAGGCCTGGAGTCAGACTGGCTGGGTTCAGATCCAGGCTTGGTTCTATCCCAGTTCTGATCTTGGGCAAGTTACTTAACTTCTCTGTGCTTTAGTTCCTTATCTGGAAAATTTGGGTAGTAATAGCTTTTATTTTGTGGGGTTTGATTAATACCTATAAAGAACTTAAAACTGCTGCTGCGTAGGAAGAGCTCTGTATAAGTGTTGGCTGTCACTATTATTACTGTTATCATCATCTTCATCTTATTCCTAAGGAAGGGTGAGAATAACGTAGAGCTTATGCACACTAGAACTGTATAGCCACCCAGAGTATCTTGTTTAAGTCTACCGATTTTTTTTTTTAATCCTCACCCGAGCACATATTTTTGCATTTATCTTCAGATAGAGCAGGAGGGAGAGAGGGAGGGAGGGAGGGAGGGAGGGAGGGAGAGAGAGAGAGAGAGAGAGAGAGAGAGAGAGAGAGAGAGAGAGAAACATTGATGTGAGAGAGACACATCGACTGTTTGCCACCTGCACAACCCCAACCGGGGCCGGGGACGAACCGCAACCGAGGTCCGTGCCCTTAGTGGGAACCAAACCTGGGACTCTCTGGTCTGCAGGCAGATCCTCTAACCGCTGAGCCAAACCGGCCAGGGCTAAGTCTACAGATCTTGAATTGTGTTGGCTAAGATTGATCATCAGTTACATGAAACTGCAATTGGAGTAATAACTAATCAGTGGCAAAGCCAGATTGAATTGGGGGGGAAGTGGAATTATAGATTGAAGAAATCATGATGTGTTTCTTTTTAAAAGCTAAGGTCTTGCCCTGGCTTGTTTGACTCAGTGGTAGCGCATCAGCCCACGGACCAAAGGGTTGCAGGTTTGATTCCAATCAAGGGCGGTTCAGTCCCTGGCCCCTGGTCGGGGTCATGCGGGAGGCAACCAATCAGTGTGTCTCTCTTGCAATGTTTCTCTCAGTCTCCCTCTCCCACTCTACCTGAAGATAAATGGAAAAATGTATCCTTGGGTGAGGATTAAAAAAAAAAAAAAAAAAGCTAAGGTCTTCCATACAGAGATAACAAAGGAACAGTAGTCCATTTAAGAAAGGAAGAATTTGTTGCGGAAATCAGGATCAATAGCTGGGGTAACATTAAACAATAAAATTAACTTAGTGTACCTTAATCAAGAAACTCATTTATTGAGATTTAAGTAGAAGAAAAGGGACAATTTGAAGGATAACTTATAAGATTCCTAGGACCTGTTTATATTTGGGGTGGGACTGGAGAAGATTCGAAGGATAAGAACATTAGAAGGAACCACAAACTTTCTGCCTGGTTGCCTCAGTGAATGAGTCTCATCCTGTCTAGCACAGTGACTCATGGAAGACAAGTTTAAAAAAGCTAGATAGAGAGTTTAATAAAATAACATATCTTTATAAACTTCATACTGACTCAGGAAAATCCAGTTTTATTTTAATTTCATAATTATCATTTCTTTCTTTTTTTTGTGAACATTTAAACTCTTTCTTCACAACGTTCAAGTATATAGTACAGCATTATTAACCATATTGCACATTAGATCCAGAACTTATTCATCCTTTACCTAAAAATTTTTTCCCTTTGACACACATTTCCCCATTTCTTCTAACCTCCTGTTCCTGGTAACTGCCCATCTGGTCTCTGTTTTTATGAGTTTTCTTTTTTTAGATTTCACATATAAGTAATATTATATAGTATTTGTCTTTCTCTGACTTATTTTACTTAGCATGATTTGAAGTTTCATCCATGTTGAAAATGGTAGGAGTTCCTTTTATCTCATGACTGAAAGGAAAATCCAGTTTTAGTAAGGTCCATATGGGACTGCCTATGGCCACCACATTGATGAAAGCAGATGTGGGGGCACCACTACGTAAGGTGCCATCTGGTGAGTGAGTGTGTTCTTTCTGCAGAGCCTTTTCCAACTTTGTAAACTGGTCTGACTGGGTCCTAGGTTAGTGCAGTGACAAGGCTTCTTTGAAGTACACTTGGCCGAGACACTGAGACCAGATCAGGCCTCAGGATCAGGGCTGTGAGTGGGCAGCATCTCCGGCTGGCAGGCTCGGGCTCATGTGCGCTCTCTAACCTGGCAAGGGCTCCGGGTCTGCATTCATGTGGTTGTACTCAAGAGTGTAGTCAGTCCGTTTTTTCAGAAAGTCACGTTTCGTCCCCCAAATTACAGGCCCATTAGGTCATTAGACTTTCCATGTAAAATGTATACCCGTTTCCTATCAGATAAGTTACTCACCTGAGTTCCTTTGGTTGGTATCTACACATGAGCAGAAGAGATTTAGCCATGGCTGTTTCTTTATTAACCAAAACTATGTTCATAATAAACTTGTGGAGAACTCTTTTATGACGTAAAGAGAAACTTATGGTTTTCATTGATTTTTCTCTTGGCCTTTGACTCTCTAGATTACTAAGGTTCCGAGCTAACTGACTTGTAACTTTTCCTTTCAAGTGACTTGATACACATTTGCATGTGTTGCATACAACACCTTTCTCCCATCGTAGAGGAGAGAGAGAAAGGCCCTGATAGCGGACCATGTTTACGGACTCAGGCTGTAGTCAGACTGCCTGGACTGAACCCAGCACACGTAAGAGCTTTGTGACCTTAGCCAATTTACTCAACCTCTGTGACCCTCAGTTTCCTCATTAATAACACATCTCTACTTCATAGGTTTGTGAGGACTCGGGTGGTATAGTAGCAGGAAGAATTGTTCCACCAGAAGTGCCAGGCATGCCCCTGTTGAGAAAAATCAATTATTTACAAAGCACTTGAAGAATGCTTAGTACATATTAAGCATTAATAAAAATCTGAGCTAGCTATTGTATATAGCTGATGGGGTTTGTTATCTTGAACTAGGAATGGCTTTAATAGATAATTAGGCCAGTTATCTATTCTCTACAAGAGGAAGCAGCTATTCCAAAGCCAGTTTCCTGCTGTTTTCAATGTACCTCTAACCTGCAGCTGGCAGGTTGCAGCCGGTTGCAGTATTACTCAGGAGCATATGTTTTTTGATTTATTAAGATAGCATTCATATAACATAAGATTCACCAGTTAAACGAACTCACTGTTTATTATTTTTTTTTTTGTTTGTTTGTTTTTTTATCCTCACCCGAGGATATTTTTCCATTTTTTGTACAGATAGAGTGGGAGGGAGAGAGAGGAAGGAGAGAGAAACATCGACGTGAAGGGACACATCGAGTGGCTGCCACCCGCACGACCAACCAGGGCCGGGGACAAACTGCAACCGAGGTACATGCCCTTAGCGGGAACCGAACCCAGGTCTCTCCGGACCGCAGGCCGACGCTCTAACCGCTGAGCCAAACTGGCCAGGGCGAACGAACTCACTGTTTAAAAGTATATAATTCATGGGTTTTCATATTAACAGTGTTGCATAACCTCTACTACTATCTAATTTCGGAACCATTTTCATCACTCCAAAAAGAAACCCTATAGCCATTAAGCATTCACTTGCCATCTCCCCTAAGACTTATGTTCTTAAGGTGCTTTAATGAGACTTAAAGCTAAAGTGGGTATTTAGTTGACATTGGTTCTTAAAACACAGTCAGAATAACTTTGACCCAGAATAATTTATGGAGGAAAACTTTTAAACTTTGTCCTTTTCTGCATTAGAGCAGAATCCTGGTGCCCACCTGCCAAAACTCCTCAGCCCACATCTGTGTAGAGGTGGTTCTTGTATTCAGTCACAGTCATTGCCAAGTTAAGCCTTTTGTTAAACTAACATTTATGGAGCTCATTTTATGTGCCATGCTCAGTTGTAAACTGTATTTATTTATTTAATCTCAAAACAATCCTGGTACACCCTAGTGTTGTCTCCATTTTACTGGCAGGGAAACGGAGGCAGGAGCAGCTAATGAACTTACTCAGAGTCCCGCCAGTCCTAAGTGACAGAACAGTATGTGTCAGGATTCAGATCCCTTACTTTGTCCTCCCTTAAGAGAATATCAGTTTCACAACCAGTGGAGAGCATTCTTCAACACTTGATGAGCAGTGTAGGCGTATCAGGTCGTTGCTGCCATGACAATGCTGAGTAACGAGAACCCACAAAACCTCAGTGACATACACGGAACAATAAACAGTAAGTGTGAGTCTTGGGTTCACTGATCCAGTTGGGCTTGTCTGGGCTGTTTCACCTCTGACTCACCTAGGGCCCTGCTCTTCTGGGTGTGCATGCTCCCATGTCTGGGGTCAGCTGGCTGTGGACTGATGTAGAATGGCCTCGGCTGTGGTGGCTGGGGCACTTAGCTCTCTGCTCCATGTGTCTTTCATCTTTGGAAAGTACTATGGGCAAACAAGGAGGGTCTCCGCAAGCTCTGTTCAAGCCTTTGCAGATACCTGGTCTGCTAATATCTTATTAGGGTAAAGCAAGTCATGTAGCTCAGATTCAAGGGGTGGGGGAAAGAGACTGCCTGTTTGGTGAAGGGAACTGCAAGGTCCCATGACCGGGGTGTAGATATAGGGAGGGCCGAATGATGAAGCTGTAAACCTCATCCTCCACCCAGTAGGTTGCACCATTGATTCCCTAACACTCAGTAACGACCAAGAGCTTAAAAAGCCTTCTGTGATTGCTGCCTGCCTCCATCTTCAGTCTTCTCTCCACCAGTTCTTCGCATTGTGCCTACACTTAGTGAATAACGCTTGTCATGTGATTTTCACTTCTGAACCTTTTCCCAACACTGACCCTTGTGCCTCAAGTGGCCTTCTTCCTTCCCAATCCTGCCTCACTCCCGCTCATCCTTTGGGTCCAGCTCATCACTTCCTTGAGAAAATTTTCCTGTGGATATATGTTTTCATTTCTTTTGGGTGTATACCTAATAGCGAAATTGCTGGATCATATGCTAGCTCCATATTTAACCATTCGAGACACTGCCAGACTGTTCCAAAACAGCTGCGCCCTGTTACATTCCCACCGCCAGTGTGCAGGGGTTCCAGTGTCTCCACATTCTCATTGATGTGTTGCCATCCATCTTTTTGGTTAAAGCCATCTTGATGGGTGTGAAGTGGTATCTTACTTATTTTGGTTTTGATTTGCATTTTCCTAAAGGCGAATGGTGTTGAGCATCTTTTCATGTAGTTATTGTTTATTTTATATCTTCTTTGGAGAAATGTCTATTCCAACCTTTTGCCCCTTTAATAATTGGACTGCTTGTCTTTTTGTTGAATTTTAAGAGTTTTTAAAATATATTCTGGATCCAAGTTGCTTATCAAATTTATTATTTATAAATATTTTCTCCCACCTTTCATATTTGCAATACATGTCTTCCATCTTTATTTTGTGAATTGTCTGGTCACTTTCTTGGTGGTATCATTTGCAGCATAAAAGTTTTAATTTCAGTGTGGTTTGGTTTTTCTTTTTTTTGTTGCTTATGCTTTTGGTATTATCTAAGAAACCATTGTCTATTCCCAGGTCACTAAGATTTACTTCGAAGAATTTTAGAGTTTTAGCTTCTCCATTTAGGTCTATGATCCATTTGGAAGTAATTTTTGTGTGTGGTGTAGTAATTGTCATTTATGCATATATCCCTCACCAAACTGTGATCTCCCTGAGAGTAAGGACTGCTTCTTAGTCTTTGAGCCTCAGTGTTTACACAGGTAGTTCTACGGATGGTATCAAACAATGTGTACTTGACTTCCCGAAGAACTGTGTTCAGTGAACGTGTCTTCATGTTCTGTGTCAGCCTACACCAAAGGACGTCAGGCCTACACACTCTGAAGATGGTGGCTTTATTTATTGCTGGCATGTGGTTGAGGGTATTACCTAGTCTTTCATTTGACAAACATTTATAGAAAGCTCTCCTAGGTGCCAGGCTCTGTGCTGGTGTTCCGGACTTTTATGCAGCAGCACCCTTTTTCTGAGGCCCTAAAGCATGGCTTCTCCCTGCTTTCACTACCTGGGCTTCTCTGTGCAGCAGGCTTATTTTTATTTGAATAGTGAATGATATAGCTCATTGTATTTCCTCTTAGACTTTGTCTGCCAGAAAGTTTTAATGCTGTTTCTAAAGAATGGTTAGCACTTCATGCCATTTATTTTTATATTACTCTCCCTTCTGTTTGTTTTTTTTTTAAATTCTCACCTGAGGTTATTTTTTTCCCATTTATCTTCAGATAGAGTGGGAGGGAAGGAGAAAGAGAAACATCTATGTGAGAGAGACACATCGACTGGTTGCCTCCCGCATGACCCTGACCAGGGCTGGGGACCAAACCGCAACTGAGGTACAGACCAGAATCGAACCCACAACTCTTCGGTCCACGGACTGACACTCTAACCGCTGAGCCAAACCAGCCAGGACTCCCTTCTGGTTTTATTTTATCACTCTTGGCTTTTTATTCTATTTTCTTTACCTACTTAGCACTCTTTTATTTTATCTTTTAAAATTATATTATTTAAGACACCTGAAATATTTTGGAACAAAGTTGAGATTTTTAAAAAGAGATACAGAGCACGGCCAGTGTGGCTTAGTGGTTGAGCGTCGACCCATGCACCAAGAGGTCTTAGGTTTGATTCCCGGTCAGGACACATGCCCAGGTTCTGGACCCAATCCCCAGTGCGGCATGCAGGAGGCGGCCAGTCAGTGTTTTCTCTCATCGATGTTTCTATCTCTCTTTACCCTTCCCTTCCTCTCTCTAAAAATCAATAAAGAAAAAAAATTTTTTTTAAAGAGGTATAGAAACCAAATTTTCTCTAATTGAGAAAAAGATCATCAGAAAGTGTTTATAGTTATGTCTCTAAACTGGTGCATGTAGAGGATGCAGTCATATATGGGCTATTCCTTTTATTCTAATGTTTGAAAGAAAAGGATTCAGAACATTCTCATTCGTTGAGTCAGAGACAAGTGCATGAAAGTTGACCTGGATAGCATTTTAAGGCAGTGGCGTCATTAAAAGGTGGACAGTACAAACAACAGATGAACTCATGCAGCATTAATACTGTGGTTGAGCTATAAGTGTGTGTATTTGTAATACTTCGTGTCTTTTGATAACTGGATTCCTTTAAGTACTTGTTGCCAAGTCGGTTCTCATGCCCCAGTATAACCTTTGCTGGCACATCATCTCCCAGCCAACGGGTTGGATCAGAGATGAAATCATTGGCTTAGAATAGAAGCACGGGATAGGTGAGAAACAAGGTTGGTGTGGCTGCCAGCAGCAAGGCATGCATGTAGACCTTGGTCATAGTAGTAGAAGTGATCCAGGTAGAATAAGGGTTTTGTAAGTAGAGTAGGCATAGTGGTCACCTCAGTCATTGTAATGACTCAGCAATTTCAGGGACTGCAAGGAAAATGTGAGAACATTCCCCATGCTAGAGGGGGTGTCACTGAACTGTCATTGAACTTCTGCTACCCAAGAACAGTTGGCCTGTGCATCTGAAGGTCACTAGAATCAACCTTACAACTGCAACAGGACTCAGAAAGCTTTTTTTTTTTTTAATATGTTTTTATTGATTTTTCTAGAGAAAGATAGAAACATCAGTGTGAGAGAGAAACATGTTTTGGCTGCCTCTTGCATAACCCCCCACTGCGGATCAAGCCCGCAACCCAGGCATGTGCCTTGACCAGGAATCAAACTGGGACCTCTCAGTTCATGGGCTGATGCTCAGTCCACTGAGCCACACCAGCTGGTCATGGGCTCAGAAGTCTTTAAGGACCTGGGCTGGCTAGCAAGTCTGCCTCCCAGGGCCATTGAAAACCAAGTGCTGACAGGAAGACGGGAAGTTGGTGGTGATAGACACGAATCTTTTCAAAACTGTGTCTCAGAGGAAGTTCTTAAATTTCCTCCTCCTGTTCCCTGCACCATGATCTCTGCTCCCAGAACCCCAGCTAAGACTGTTCTTTCTACAGTCAAACAGATGCTCATGGTCTAGAAACTTGCCCTTTTAATACTTGAGACTTCATTTTAATCATTTGCCACTGAAACCATGAGTTTCTTGAAAGAGAGGTGTTGGTCATTTAGCTGATATTTCTTACAAGGTTTTATATAGGGAAATATATTCTAAGTTACAACCAATCTACATGTAAATAGACTTCTGGATCGTAGTGTATTAGTAGGGTGAGAGCTGCCCATATTAGAAAGAGTTGTAAAGGGAAGCAAAACAGAACTGACTTGAGGTGTGCTGGTCTGTGCTAGAATAGCCTGGTAACTCGAAGTATCTATAGTGTGTAGATACTCAGGACTTAGAAGTACGTTGTTCCTTTCGAAGTGGTTATGTTGAACAGCTATTTGAATTCAGTATTTTTATTCCTTTGCTTTATGGTCTTTGTCAAACACTTGTAAATTTCTACTCCATCCCATCAAAATAGTAGCAGAGTCAAAATAATTGAGTTCGTATATATAGTGTCTTGTTTATTCATAGATTTATTTTATTTCTACATCCATATCTAGGTTAATTTTTCTGTTTCCCATGCCTTCTACTCTAGTACACCTTTTGTATTTTTTGGAGGGGGGTTATATAGTTATTTATCCCAAGACAGAAATTTATTTAATCCAGTCATCTTCTGGTTTACATCTCATATCCAGCTGGACTCATGGTCTTATTTATTCTCACCTAAAGTGCCCTTACATCTTTTTGTCATTCCTGCTATTACCACCGTCCTTGCCGTTGTCTCTCACCTGGGCTTCACAGTGAGATTTTAAAAGATTTCCCCTTCCTCTTATCTAGAGTTTTTAACATTAAGGGTTATAACCCATAATGGGCTATGAAATTGGTCTAACACTTTCATGTACCCTTTTACCCATTTCTAAGTCATCTCTGTGTCCTTCAGAGTTATTTTTCCAAAACAAGAATTTCATCATCTCACTGTCCTGCTAAAGAGCCTTCATTGCCTTCCTGCTCTCTGCAGGATCAAGTCCACACTCCTCAACATGGTTTACAAGGCCCTTTATAATTTGAAGTAAAGATGCCTCGGGTGCCATTTCTCCCTGCCTTGCCTTCCATACGTCCACCTTGTACTCTAGCTACATCACACCTCTTACTTTTGTCTGGACATGCCTTAATCTTATCCTTCTGCTTGAAGCCATGCTTGGAGTGGCAGGCTCATCTTTGAAGACCAAGATCGAATATCACTGATTTTGAGAAGCCCTTCTCAAGTACCAGATACCCTGTCATGCCATTGTCTGTTCTTGGTTTGTTTACGTGACGGCCTCACCTCTGCCTGATTCAGCGAGGGCTGGTGAGAGCTTAGGCCAGATAGTGGACGATATCGGCTCAGCCGGGGTAGCTCAACCAGCTGTGATGTGTTCTGCTCACCTGGAGGCAGGGATTAGGCTGGGACGCCACCACAGTTCTTATTCTTTAGGCTCCTTTGTTTTTTAAAGTAAATCTTTCTAAAATGTTTCTAGATCTCAAAAACAGAATTAGATTGGTTCCTCGAAGATTTGAAAAAGGAAATTAAAAAATGGCAACAGGAAAAAAAAGAAGTGTTGGAAAGACTAAAAGCACTGAAGAAGAAAATGAAAAGGGTTTCACAGGCCTCTGAAATGTAAGTAACAATTGAAAGGCAGTGATTTTTACTGTTTTTTTTCCCATTGGGATGGGGTTTTATTATTGTTATTTTAACATTTGACACTCAGTTTCAAACTATGTCAAGTGAATTTAGATACTGTTTCATCTCATTTTAAAGAACATCTGTTGGGGAATTATGTCACCTGAAACTTTTTCTAAAAACCTACCTTGTTTGCAGATAAATAAAGTGAGACTGTGAATTAGCCGTCTGAACACTCACTGCTGTGAACATGACCTTTGACCTTTTAACTGTGGAATGAGCAGGCTAGTCTAGATCTTAAGCAGCTTCTCAGCACTGAGATTCTGTGGTGGTTATTTTGTGATTACTTTCATCTTGAATCCTGAAACCATTAAATTTGGATCTGTAGTATGAAGGATTTGGAAATATATATCGGCACTACAATTGTCAGATGGGCCAAGTTGGTTTCAAGTTTCTCCATGATTAATTCCTAATCCCTCTCTTTCCTAAACAGTGCTGTTTCATATGATCTGCTTCATTTGTAACAAAACACCTGAAATTCGATGGCTTAAATCAGCAGCCATTTTATCTGATCGTGATGGTACAGTCTGGGCTGAGCTCAGCTGGTTCCTCATCTGGCTGTGATCAGCTGGGGCTGGGCTCCGCTGGATGCTGTAGTGTCTTGTTCTCTTTCTCTCCATGCAGTTTCAGAGCTTCTCCCTCTCCATGTGGCCTCTTTCTGTCACTTTTATCTACACTGTCTCTCCATCTGACCTCCAGCAAGGTAGCCAGACGTCTTATGTAGCGGCTGGGGGCTTCCAGGCGTGCAGAGGTGGAAGCTGCCGGGCCTGCTGAAGGTCTGAGCCCAGAGCTGCCGGAGCATCGCTCCCACCACAGTCTCTTGTTTAGGCAGGGTGCGGGCCTTGTCCACACCAAAGAGCATGAACAGTGGGAGGCACGGGTCACTGAGGGCCATTTCACCACTCATCTTTCAAGGCATTTATGCATTTTCCGTTTGCTGTGCCATGTGATCAGATGGCTTTCATTATTCGTCTTGCTAACATCACGTCTGGACGGTTCCTAGGCAGTCCTTAAAAGAAGGGCGAATATGAAACACTGCCTCTGTCATGTCAGAGTTGTTTCATTAGGAACACATTTGCAGAAATGGTAATGTCTGTAAAGCTCTTTATCTCTTAGTAGTCGAGCAGCTTTAGTCTTAATTGCTGTTATCCAAAAATTCAGGAATATTTATATTTAATATGTATTTTATATGCTCAATTTAGACATACTATCAAACTAGACAAAATAAATAAATCTGTTGATGATAAGAAAACATTTTTTTCTCTGCTAGCATAAAAATTAACCATTTCTGCTGGGGAATAAACTTTTTACTGCCTCCCCCACACACACACATTTATATTCATGTATGTGTTTCTTTGCCTTTTTTTTTTTTTTTTTTTTTACCATCCTCACCCGAGGACATTTTTCCATTTTTTACTCAGATAGAGCGGGAAGGAGAGAGAGGAAGAGAGAGAAACATCGATGTGAAAGGGACACATCGAGTGGCCGCCACTCACACAACCCAACCAGGGCCGGGGACAAACTGCAGCCAAGGCACATGCCCTTAGCGGGAACCGAACCTGGGTCTCTGTGGACCGCAGGCCGACGCTCTAACCACTGAGCCAAACCGGCCAGGGCTCTTTGCCTTTTTTTTGTTCATATTTAAAGATAAGCCATAGGCATCTCTCTGCTTCTTATACAGTGATACCTCGGTTCTCGAACGCCTTGACTTTCGACCAAATCGGTATTCGACCAGGAGATTCGAGAAACTTTTGTCTTGGAATCCGAACAAATATTTGGAACTCGAACTTCCGAGATGAGCCGAGTTGAGCCGAATGGCGTTCATTCGGCCCAGCGCGCCTTGCTTGCGTCATCAGTGTGAGTGCAGAGAGAGAGTCACGCTTTGTGGAGAGAGTCACGCTTTACACTGAATTTAACCCTTAGACATACTGTACACTTTTATTTCTTGTTGAGACTTATGTTTTTCTACATATTATATACAAATTAGGCCAGTAAATAGGCATTTTCTGGGGCTTGGAACGAATTAATCCAGTTTCCATTATTTCCTATGGTTTCATTGCTTCGGTTCTCGAACAATTTGGTTCTCGACCGTCCTCCTGGAACGAATTATGTTCGAGAACCGAGGTATCACTGTACTTTCCAAATAAATGCTTTACGGTTAGCTTTTAAAGTAAAATCTTAAGACTTCTTATATTTCCTGAAGAAACTCAAAGGATATGAGGAATGGTTTGATTTTTCTACACTTTATAGATCACACTTGATATTAAAAATGGCTGGGATATAGGGAGCTCCTGGTTGGTGCAGTGGGACAAACCAGCAGCAACTGGAAGACAGCGCAGGCTCCATGAAAGAGCGACGCAGAATGGAGCACTCAGGGAAAAGAGCTTGCAGAAGAAGGGAAATGGCATTTAAATTGGTTGTTAGTGGAAACCTGGGGTTTTCAGCAAGTAGAGATGACTAAAAAGGTGTGTAGGAAAGCATGATGTGGTAGAACTTATTTTCTACAGGGTATTGCTTAGAAGTCAGATTGGCACCCTTTGTTCTGAGGGTGGTCGGACTGCGTGTGTCAGTGTAGGTGGGTGCATGCGTGCTTGTGGGTGCGCACGTGTTGGACTTCAAGTTCTGTTTTACAGAACAGAGGCTGACCCTGGCAGTGTTGCTCAGTTGGTTGGAGCATCATCCTCTACAGCAAAAAGTTGTGGGTTTGAATCCAGTCAGGACACATACCTAGGTTGTGGCACATACAGGAGGGCAACCTATCAATGTTTCTCTCATCGCTCGCTCTCTCTCTCTCTCACTCTCTCCCATCCCCTCCTCTCTCTCTAAAAAAAATTCATAAAAACATATCCTCAGGTGAGGATTAAAAAAAGAATAGAGACTGTTTTGAATGAGAACCCCCGGTCATACGGCACTCCTGCCTCGTGTTGAACCACCCAGAGGTGCTCCTTGAGGTGGACTGAGAGGGTGACATGCACAGCAAGCGTAACTTAGTGGTCAAATAAAAGGGGTGAAATCCAAGATCTGCCCTCCAAGTGTAAAAGGAAAACTTCCAAAAAGGAAAATGGACCCAAATTCTTTGCCTATTTTAAAGATACTAGAAATGAAGCAAAATGTAAAAACTTATAAAGAATTCAAGAATTTTTACATGCATGTGGGTAGAATTTACTCTGGGATCAGGTTTCTAAAAATACCTTGGAAAATTAAAATTTGGTGATTATGCTTTCATAGGTACACCCAGAAACATGATGAAAATGAAAAGGAACATGAATTCCTTCTGGATCAGTCTTCTGAAATCAGGCAAATTAAGCTTAAATTTATTTATATATCTTATACTTTTAATACCAGAAGCACAAGCACACTGGACTTCTAAATAAATTGTTGCTTGTTTGCGTTTTAAATGATTGTTTCTCTTTTATTTGTTTTCTATTTTATTCTTAAATATTTAAATTTTTTATGTAAGTATTTTATGTTATGATGTTTCTACTTTTATTTCACATTGCCGGTTTAAAAAATCTGAATTTATTTTGATTATGACTCTTTTTCCTCGATGAACTTGAAAGTAAATATGTGTTTTAAAAACTTTTATGTTACTTGAAATACCAGTCTCAACTCTACTATGGTAGTTTGTTGCTCTGTAATTATAGGTTACAGAAAGATTTTCATTATGAACCTATAAAAAGTTTCCTTTTAACCTTTATTAATGGAAATAATGTTTTCAGATATTGGTAACCACGTCTCTTCAGGAGTAAGCAGTGGTGGTCACCTGCTCTTCTCATGTTGTTTCATGTGCACATTTCCCTTCACATGTGGTCCATGGCTGCCTTGTTGTAGCTGTTACAAATATAGTCACGGACAACTTTGTGTGGATCATTTTTTTCCTTTGGGTTATTTCCTTATAATATGTGTTAAGGTAGAATTTATGACCCAAAGAATGAGGCATGTTCTATAAAGTTTATTAATATAGCAGATTATATTTCACCTGTGCTCATAAGAATGGTGAACCAGTTTCTCAGCATTCCTACCAGCTCCTCACTTTCCATTTCATATCTTCCTTTGATCATTGGTAAAGCACAAAGAGTGTGTGTGAGGCTGTATTACATAATCAAATATTAGGCAAGAAGTTACTCTAGAAGACATTATGTGTCTTTTTGTGGCATGATTTCAAAGGTAACCTGGCTTTAGACTATGTAATCTCACTGGTTAAATTTTTTTCAGAGTGTTTTTCTTTACTATTTTCAGTAATGCTTTTACAAATGAGAAAATGAAAATAGAAGAGCATATAAAGAAAGGGAAGGAGCAATATGAAGAAATTCTTCAAAGAGCTATGGCTGCAGAGGTGAGCCCAGGCCACAGGGTGATGACAGATAGGGCAGGAGGTCCTTGTTTGCTCGGGGTTTAATTGCATATGAGGCAGAACAGCATTGTTGGAAAGTGCAGAGGCTCAGGGACATTCTGTCACCCTGAATGCTGCCTCCTTGAACAACTACTCTTTCCTTGCCTGTAGGTTCTTAATTGTTTACCCTTATGCTTATGTTGTTACGTAACTGTATTCAGTGCACACCAAGCCTTGTAACCTTTCCTTATTTAACATTATATGTAACTCAGTCATTTTTTATGCTCTCCACTTTGAATGGCTTCATTATATTTAATCAAGACCTATACCATGAAGTAGTCAACCATAAAACATTTGCCAATACTAGAAAAGGAACTTGAAAATCATCCACTTACTAAGAATATACTCTCTCCTCCCCAAAGAAGAATATATACCAATGTCAGTATACTATTTGAAAAGGTAGTAAGACAAAAATAAAAATAATTACCCCTGGCTATATTTTATTTAGTTCCCAAAACGTGGTTGTCTTTGTCTAATTAAGAAGTAAATATTATTTATTGGTATATGTGTTTATGATTATTCTGGGAAAATAAAAAAGGTTTAGCTTATGCGATCTGCAAACAGGAGTCTTTCAATTAAATCTCGACTGTGCAGTTGCTTCTAAGGAAAGGAAGGAAAGTAAAGTCGAAGTATCGTAGTCTGTGGATCCTGTGCTCGCATCTGCATTCCCAAGCTGTTCAGTTCTCGCTCACCACCATCTGGCAAGCAGTTTTGCTGGTGGGTCCTGTCAAGGTTACTGACACCTGGACTGAACTACATTTCCTGCAGTGACCCTTAAAAAAATGGCCAGTTGGCTTGTGAGTTTTAAAACCATGCCCCAGAAGCTTTTGAAGCTGAGCACAGCTTGTCTACAGCCCCTGAATCCAACTGGGTGCAGCCTTGGGTTTGTCTACAGGCCCTAGCCCTCTGCTCACCATGAACAGGCACAAATCACCCCACCAGGGCTATGCACACAGGCAACCTCGCTCTGTGCTTCAGCAGTAAGCCATGTGGGACATTTCATATCTGAGAAAAGTGTCACTAAGGTATAGCATTTTACTGTCATTTTGTTATTCTAGTATCAAATCCAAAGTTTTAATGCATGTTCACCTGAGGGAAATGACAGCATGATCAAGCTCTGGTGATTCTGTCGTAGTGTGTCCTTTAGGGAGAAACTTCAAAGGGGTTTGTAATGTTTAAGTTTTAATGACTCAAAATAGTGTATTTTTCCAGTTTTAAAATACTTAAATGTTTTCTAATCTAATGATAGGTATCTGTGCTTGAAAACGGGAGGGAGATGGAAACATATAAGTTACGGATCATGGAATCACAAGCAGAAGGGTATCTGAAGAACCTGAAACAATTGAGCAGGTACCGTGTAGCATTATGAGTATATTTCCCAGCATGTCATTTAGTAAATGAAAGTTGCAGGTGGTTTGAGAAAAAAATTTTATATTAGGCAGAACCATTTTATTTTTTTTAATTTTTTAATCCTTACCTGAGGACACTTTTTCCATTTTTGTTCGGGTAGAGTGGGAGGGAGAGGAAGAGAGAGAGAGAGAGAGAGAGAAACATCAACTGGTTGCCTCCTGCACAACCCCAACCAGGGCCGTGGACGAATTGCAACTGAGGTACGTGCCCTTGACCAGAATTGAACCCGCAATTCATTGGTCCGTGGGCCCATGCTGTAACTGCCGAGCCAAACCGGCCAGGGCACCATTTTATTTTTAATAGTTACACAATTAATATATGTTCAGTTGTAGAAAAATCAAAACGTACAAACAAAAGCAATAAAAATTATTCATAATTCTAAATTGAGCTATAACTAGTTGGTATTTTGGCATAAATTCATTAATTAGTTGGAAAAAATGAAAATTTGTGTATTTTCTTCTACTAAGTAGTATATAGGAATATCACTTCAGAGGATATTCATGGATGTTCACCTTTTCAATTCTCCATGACCTTTACCTGTTTTGGTTTGTTTTAAGAATAAGGTTTACCTGGGACTTCTACAGTCTAACATTTAGCACTTGTATGTGTGGATTTTCACACCTGGGATTATTTGTCCTCTATTTTTTTACTGTATTTCACACACAGGTTTTGACTTTTTAACCCCAAGTGTTTTCATTCTTCCTAGTGCTTTTTTATTACATTTCAAACCCTCCGCACTGAACCGCTTTCTGCAGGCCATGCAAAACAGTTTTGTTTGTTTTTTTAAACAATTTCAATGTTTAGCTCTTTATTTCTTTAATTTTAAGATTTAGGTGTTTGTGTTTTTTTCACATGCAAAGACCTTTCTGATGAAAGGTAAACTAATATGCAGATTCAGATGACAGGACTTGTGTAGTTGAGGTTGAGACCACTGTGGTGTTCAGATGCAGTGCTGAACTCCATGCGCTGTGCTGCATGGGCATCTGGGAAACAGACTTGGTCTCTGACCTCGTTTTCTCCAGTAGTGTCTGCTTCCTTAGTGAACCTCATAGTACACTAGCTTCTTTCTTGGGAATTCGGTGCTAACTCTGCTCATTCCACCAAAGAACAACAAAGACAAAAGGCACCCAAGGGATGTTCTGGGTTTTCCTCTCAGTGTGTCATGAAAACTGACAGTCACGGATGGATAGTATTTCTGATTTTCTCAATTGAGGAGCAGAAAGTGTGTGTCTCTTTCTGCAGACCAGGTGCATGAGGCCCTGAGGTCATACATCTGTTGTTGACATCAGGCCCCACCCTTTATCTTACACTAAAGTGGGAATTAGGGTTTTATTGCAATATTTTAGGTGTTCCAGGCCACCATTCTTTTTATTCCACATATAGCCTTTAATGTTAAACATGGATGTCAAAATGAAGAATGGTCAAATATTCAAATTTGAGGAAAGAAATTAAAATTCAGGAGAATATTTGCTGTCTGCCTACTGGTTTTGGGGTTTGGGTTAGATAAATCATTAAAATTTCCTAAAGTATCTCTAGTGGTATTTGTAAGATACACAATTCTTTTCCTTTTTTTTAAACTCCTCAACCAAGGCCCGACCGGTGTGGGTCAGTGGTTGAGTGTCGCCCCATGCACCAAGAGGTCACTGGTTTGATTCCTAGTCAGGGCATAAGCCCCGGTTGTGGGCCAAATCCCCAGTGCGGGGCATGCAGGAGGTGGCCAGTCGATGTTCTCTCTCATCCAATGTTTCTACTCTCTCTCCATGTCCCTTCCTCTCTAAAATCAATAAAGGAAATAAAAATTTAAATGAAAAATAAATCTTCACCCAAGGATATTTTTCCATTTTTCTTCAGATATAATGGGTACAGGACGGGGGAGAAAGAAACATCAATGTGAAAGAGACGCATTGATTAGTTGCCTCCCACATGACCCCGACCAGGGCCGGGGACCAGCTGTGCAACCAAGGTACATGCCCTTGACTGGAATCGAACCCGAGCATGACTCTGGTCCACAGGCCGATGCTCTAACCACTTAGCAAACCTGCCAGGGCAATATATAATTCCTCAGAAATAGTTGTTTTTTTTGTGTGTGATCATGTGAAATGTTTTTAACGTTTAAATGTTTTTCATTTGTACTTTAGTGCTTTCAATTTTTAAAAATATTTTAAAGCAGACATTAAGCCATTTCATTTTTTTCTCCTTTTTCAGTGATTCTGCAGCATATCCTGACCTGCAGTCTGATGTACAGTCATGGGAATCATTTCTTTCTGATGTTAGAAAAGAAATTGAGAAAGTAGAGGTAAGTTGTAAAATATTTTAATTCTGTCAAAATCTGTATGATGGTTATAATTCCCAAGCAGCTGGAGTGAAATTGAAACTGTACCTTTTTTTTTTTTTTTTTTTAATCTTCACCCGAGGACATTTTTCCATTTTTTTTTGTTCAGGTAGAGTGGGAGGGAGAGAGAGGAACAGAGAGAGAAACATCGATGCGAAAGGAACACATCGAGTGGCTGCCACCCGCATGACCGACCAGGGCCGGGGACAAACTGCAACCGAGGTATGTGCACTTAGCGGGAACCGAACCCGGGTCTCTCTAGACTGCAGGCCAATGCTCTAACCCCTGAGCCAAACCAGGGCGAAACTGTACCTTTTTTGAGCAGTTAAAAGCAATAGATGCCCTGGCCGGTTTAGCTCAGTGATTAGAGCGTCAGCCCGCAGACAAAAGAGTTGTGGGTTTGATTCTGGTTGAGGGCTTGTACCTCAGTTGCGATTCAGTCCCCAGCCCTGATGGGAGTCATGCGAGAGGCAGCCAATCGATGTCTCTCTCACATCAGTGTTTCTCTCTCCCTCCCATTCTATCTGAAAATAAATGGAAAAATATCCTTGGGTGAGAGTTTTGTTTTTTTTTTAATAAAAACAATAGATATTTCTTGTTGAAATTTTAAGACTTATTCATGAAAGTAATGGTATTTTCTTAAGTATCTTAAACTCTGCCCTTGATGCTAAGATTAGAGCAGCTTTGTTGGATCAGGCTATAGAGCATCTAATCAATGAGGGCTTATTTTGAACTTCTTTCCTTACAAGAAATGATTATTTTAGTACCTTGCATTTCAGTTATGTTTCTTGGAAAATTGTTGCCCATTATTTTTTAAAATGTTTTTGCTGATTTTTTAGAGAGAAAGGAAGGGAGAGAGATCGGGAGATAGAAACATGAATGAGAGCTTGGCCAGGGTGGCTCAGGGGCTTGAGCGTTGTCCCATGCAGCAAGAGGTTGCTGGTTCGATTCCCAGTCAGGGCGCATGCCCAGGTTGTGGGCTTGATCCTCAATATGGGGCTAGAAGGAGGCAGCCAATTAATGTTTCTCTCATCGATGTTTCTATCTCCCCCTCTTCCTTCCTCTCTAACCAAAAAAATATATAAATATATATAAATATATATATATATATATATATATATATATATATATATATTTTAAAAAAAGAAAGAAACGACGAGAGAGAAACATTGATTGGCTGCCTCATGCACACCTCTGCTAGGGATCTAGCCTGAAACCCAGGCATGTGCCCTGATTCGGAATCAAACCAGCAACCTCTTGGTTCATGGGTTGATGCTCAACCACTGAGCCACACTGGTTAGGCCGTTGACCATTTTTAATGTGTAGTAAGAAAAATAGTATTCATTGACGATGGTGGTTTTCCCTTGGAATTTATTAGAAAAACTTAACACCTTTTCTTCTACCTACAGTCTCAGTTCGGAGAACAAATTAAGGCAATTAAAAATGGTTCTCGGCTCAGTGAACTTCCTAAAGTGCAGACTTCTGAGCTTTCATTTCCTGCATGGAACACAGTAAGTCTGTCATCTTTCTGAAGGGAAGAAAACAATTTCTTTTTGAATTGGCCAAATGAGTTGGTTGTTGTTTTCTGGAAGTAGGGATGCGATGGGTGAATAATTGCCTTAATGTTTTTAGTATTGGTGTGACTGGTTAACCTTTTAAGCATTATAGTAAACAATCTTATGTAAATGGAAGACATTCTTTCTACATTGGAGTCTAAGGAGAGGACTGAGGTGAACAGACTGCTGGAACATCTCCTCTCCTTTCTGGATACTGGGGGGGAAGAGAGGGGATGTGTTTCCCTGCATTTGAACAAATACTCCAGGTGTAGCAGGTGCCTATGATTCAGATATAGTTTATTCTCCGATGCTTAGAGGCATAAAACCACAGTCTGGAAATTAAGGTTTGTTTCCTTGTTAAATGCAGAATAAAAACTTATATAGATGAGACACACAAGGGCTTTGTTGGTCTGGCATATCATCTTTACTACTGGTTTGAGGTATATGCTGCATCTTTTGAATAACAGTGATTGCCATACCTTGCCTTGTTTTTTGTTTTTGTTTTTTATTAATTCTCACCCAAGGATATCTTGGCATTGACTTTTTTTAGAAAGAGTGGAGCCAAGCTGGTGTGGCTCAGTGGTTGAGAATCGACCCATGCACCAAGAGGTCACCAGTTCGATTCCTGGTCAGGGCACATGTCCAGGTTGTGGGCCAAATCCCCAGTCAGGAGCATGCAAGATGCGGCTAGTTGATGTTCTCTCTCATCAGTGTTTCTCTCTCTCATTCCCTCTCCCTTCCTCTTTCTCTAAAATCAATAAAGGAAAAAAAAATTCTTTTTAAAAAGTGGAAGAGAGGAGAGAGAAAGAGAAACATCAGTGTGAGAGAGACATATCAACTGGTTGCCTCCCACATGACCCCATCCAGGGCCGGGATGGAACCTGCAACACAGGTACATGCCCTTGACCAGAATCGAGCCCACGATCCTTGAGTCCACAGGCCGACAATAACCGCTGAGCCAGACTGGTCAGGGCTTGCCTTATTATTTTAAAATACGCAGCACAGTAGAGCAATGTTACTTTGTGAACTTTAAAATATGGCTAAATCTAGTATCTTTTTTCTTATTTGGACACAGCAGATGCTCAGTAAATACTAAACTGAAATGAATTAAGCCCAAGGGAGATCTGACCATAAGAATTTAAAGAAGAACTCTATTCAAGAGTTGAATAGAGCCCTAGCTGGGTAGCTCAGTTGGTTAGAATGTCATCATGAGACGCCAAGCTTTCAGGTTCCAACCCTGGTCACGGCACATACAGGAATCAACTAATGGTCCTGGCCCATTTGGCTCAGCAGTTAGACTAGCGGTTCTCAACCTATGGGTCGCGACCCCTTTGGGGGTCGAACGACCCTTTCACAGAGGTCGCCTAAGACCATCGGAAAACACATATTTCCAGTGGTGATTCATAACAGTAGCAAAATTACAGTTATGAAGTAGCAATGAAAATAATTTTATGGTTGGGGGTCACATGAGGAACTGTATTAAAGGGTCACAACATTAGGAAGGTTGAAAACCACTGAGTTAGACCATCAGCCTGCAGACCAAAGGGTTGCAGGTTTCATTCACGGTCAAGGTCATGTACCTGAGTTTCAGGTTCACTGTCCCAATTGAGGTGTCTCTGTCATATCGATGTTTCTCTCTCTCCCTCCCTTCCATTCTATTTAAAAATAAATGGAAAAATATCCTCAGGTGAGGATTAACAATAAAAGAATCAACCAGTGAATGCATCAGTAAGTGAAGCAACAAATTAATGTTTCTCTTTCTCTCCTCCCCTCCCCCCCGCTCTAAAAATCAATAAAACACATACACACACACACACACACACACAGTTGATGAGAGATAGGTTTCAGAATGTTTGGCACAACATTGAAATCTTCTGGTTCTGAAATAGCCTGTAAGGCAACTGTTTTCCCAGCACTTGATTTACACCTTTCTGCTGCTGCCAGACCTTTGCCGGGGCGGTTCCCAGCCTGGGATGCCGTCCTCATTCCTGCACCGTGCCTTCCCCTGAAGCCCAGTCAGGGCTGCCCTCATTTGCCCCCACCCATGATCTATCATATGCCTTCGTCTCCTTCACTCGGATGACAGCTCCCTGCAGTCAGGGGCCTGATCTTGAATATCTTTTTCTCATCAGACAGTACATGTTAAGCGTGCAAAGTTAGTGCATTCATCTAAAAAAAAACAACAAACAAAAAAAAGGTTTTTAAAACATTTAGCCATCTTGAACTGAGTAAAACGGTCTACTGAGATCCAGAATTTTTTCTCTCCTTTAAAATGAATAAGAAATAGAGTTTTATTTAGAAGTAAATTAAAGATCTTACAGTTTTTTCAAGTTCTTATTGCAGATATGGAGGGGAAAAGAGTTAGATCTCAGTAGAATATTTTACTATTTTTAATTCTAGCTTATGTAATTTTATAAATACTCAAAAGAATTTTAATATCCAGAACACTGGGAACTTTGTGTGCCAGGAGCTTGAACAATAAGTATCCCTAAAAATCAGTCCCTCTCTCATCTCTCCCTCATTCATTCATCAGGCATCTGGGGGTGGTCAATATTAGATGTGGTCTGTGCCTTTAGAGTGTCTATGGGTTTGGGAAGTGAGCCGTTAAGCCCATAACTACAGTCGGAACGTGCCGAGGTTTTTCCCAGGTGCACGGAATGCTGTGGCAGTGTAATAGGGGCACTGACCTTAGCTAGAGGTCTGGCCCCCTCAGATGCTTCCCTGTTGAGTCGGCGATCCAGAATAGGAAGTAGCCAGGGAAGGCGTGGTGGACGTGTGTGTGAGAGGCGGGCTGGTCGTATGCTGTCTGGAGGGCCAGAGCATCCCACCTGGAAGAAACAGCATATTTGGAGGCTGCAAAAAAAGAGAGAGAGAGAGAAAACACACCCGTTTCATGTATAAAAGAAGTTTAATGTGACAGTGGGGGCAAGAGGGAGGAAGATTATCGAGTACCCAGGGCCAGCATGAGCGCAGCCTTTGTTCCGAGTGACAGGGCCAGCGGTGTGGACTTTTCCTTGGGCTGCTAGGGAGCCGGTATGGGTTTCAAGTAAGGACAACATGAGCTTTGCACTTGATGACGATCAGCTTGACTACAAAGGGGAAGTGTGAAAGGGACCCCAGGGATCCCCAGGTGACCAGTCATTGGTTCATTGCCACCACCCAGGTCCTGGATTAGGGAGCGGCAGTGGGGCAGGAGAACAGATCTGGAGGTTGGAGGCACAGTTGAGCTGCGCTGCCCACAAGACTGGGGCTCAGTGTGTGTGTTGGCGAGTCGAGGACAAATCCGGATTACCGTCAAGGATGACGTCAGCACTAGATACAGGGGGAGGACGCTGCCGAGTCCAGTTTTGAAGACATTGAGTTTGAGTGGCCCAGTGGCCCAGCGGATTTGCAGAGTCGGGTCTCAGATATTCCAGACTGGAACATTTAAAAAGGGGGCCTTATGGCAGCAAGCTTGCAGTCCCCGGGGCGAGACAGTGTGGAAGGGCTGGGGGAGGGGGCCCGAGGCAGAGATTGGACTTGGATAGCGCCATGCGGACTTGCACAGGCCTGCCTGGAGCTGAGAAGAGAGGTGGGAGGGAGGCCAGCTGGGTGCAGAATGAGAAAGTGGCCAGCGTCTAGGTGTCCTGGGGCTGAGTGATGGAGACTGTTGGTGGCCTTGGCAAGGGCAGTTTTGGGGAGCGTTGGAACAGAGGTTTGATTCGTCAGCCATAAAGTATAGCTGGGAAGGGAGTGGGGTTCCGTGAGAGGTGAAGGAGGGCAGGGAGGTAGGTGCAATGTTCCTCCTTAGGCATGTTTCAAATTTTATAGAAAAAGTAAGGAATTACAAAGAGAGTTATTGAGAAGTCAGAGTCCAACCGTTTTCTAACAGCTAACAGAACAGGTTATGTTGCACTTTCAGCACCCGATTTTATTATAGTCATGCCCAATTATCAGTCTTTGTCCGTGGATGTTTCTCTAAGTACTGCTGTGGTGTGTTCCTCACAGATTCGCCCAAAGTCACTTCCTGAGTCTTCAGGTCGTGAAGATCGGGGTCCCTCAACTTCTGCAAGTCATGAGACTGGAACTGGCACAGTGGTTCCCAAGGATTCAAGTCTGGTTTCTGCCAGTGGTCACCCAGTGGGGGCTCCCTCTCCGCTGCCGGCATCTGCCCCCCATCAGCTGGGAGCCACCTGGCTGCCGCAGTGGCAGGGCGCTGGCCAGGCAGCTCCGCCCGAACAGAGCCCCGCCGCCTCGGAGAGACCACCTGTTCCTCCAGGACGTGCTGCGCGCCCGAGCCCGTCTCCAAAAAAGCCATTCAACAGTATTATTGAGCACCTGTCCGTGGTTTTCCCCTGCTGCAGCAGGTACAGATGGGAGACGGGTGGTACTGTTCACTACGTGTAGTGAGCTGAGGGTTCCTGATCAGATATAACATGGCCAGTTAGGGGCTGACGTGGAAGGGATTGCATAATTTTTTTATTCAGAAAGACAAGTGCTACATTTTGTTTTTAATCATAGAGGTGAGTGTTTTCAAATACATGTTCAGTGTATGTACCTAGATTGAGAACTCTGAGCACTCATCAGAACCCAGGGCGGTGTACTAAGGTTTGATGAGATCAGTAACATGCTGTAACACTGGTTATGGAATCACTGGTCTTTACCATTCTGGGGAACACAAGGCATATAAAAAAGGCGGCACCGCTCACCTCTTGGGACACCTGATTTTGAGAGGTGTGAGGGCAAAAAAACTGGGTATAATTCAGTGGTGAATCAGGTGTGTGGGCCAGTTACAAAGGGAATGCTTGGGTGGTGGGGAGACTGCTTTTACCTGAGTTCTCAATACACACATCAGTAGGGCTTCTCCTTGACCTTGGCCTTGCTCTCCAGGTTGATGCGAGGAGACAGAGGTGCTCCTTGTCTCAAATGAGGTAGAGGGAATGTCTCCAGTATATAGCTAAGAAGAGAGGATTTACATCCAGGAACAGCCTCAGCACCTCCCGTGTTATTTCTGTCTTTGATATGATATTAGTTACAGTCCCAGAATTTATACTTTTGAAACAAAGTAGTCATTAAATGTAATTGACTGCAGTTGAGGTTTTGCATCTACAGGGACAGCTCTGCCCATATCAGGAATTTACCAACTATCTTGTAGAGGCCTACACCAGAGTTTCTGTGCAGAGGACCCAGGTTCCAGCTGTGGCCACCACATCATTTTATACATGAAAAATTAAGTGAATAAAGCCAGTTTAAAAAAAAAAAAGTGAATGTTCGGTCTGCACATGGTGTCTTTAGCCCACGGTCCACTGTGTGAGAAGCATGGTTGGTTCTCTCAAGAGCAGTTACCCTGCCAGTTGTAAGAATATTGCAGTTGAAATTACTGAAAGTACCGTACAAATAAAATTGTTTACAATCTTGGTAAATTTGGCAAAGTTAAATAACCAAATAGAAAGGCGTCTTAATTTTCTGAACGTTAAAATATTTGGGCTATCACTGGTACAGTATCACATTTCTGTCAATTATTTACCGTTAACATCCACAGGTGCTTGGGAAACATTCAGGCTTGAAAACCTTGTGTGTTAGGTTTTTAAGGGAGGGAGTCAGCAGAGCTAGTGTCCTCTTAGAGAGTTATCGATGTCAAGTCAGAACCAGTGGTGTCTGTTGGTAGTGATGTGGCATCAGTGGCTGCGTGAACCCAGGTTTTCGATAGGGCTTACTCTCCCTGGTGCCTCCAGCAGAGAAACTGCTGTGTGGAATTCTATTGCAGTAAGTACCTAGAAACGATATTGGAATTTTTATGGCTACTTGGAAAGAGTGACTCTGCTATTTTACATACAGTTACTGTTGTCTACCTGTTCATTTTGTTTGTGTGTATATGTTTCCCTTAGCTGTTGGGTTGATATTGGCACATAATATTTCTCAGCAATGGAAAACTTTGACTTTCTGCTGTCATTTCTCCCCACTTTCTCCTTCAGCACCGAGCTTGCTGGTTTTATTAAAAAAGTACGAAACAAAAGCAAGAATTCACTCTCAGGACTGAGTATTGATGAAATTGTCCAGAGGGTGACGAAACACATTCTAGATGAACAGAAAAGCCAAAAGGTCAGTGTTCTATCAAATACAGTGAAATTCCTACTTTATCCTTATCTGGGTATAAAATGTGAGAATTGCAAAGAACAAAAACAAGCTTCCAATCAAAATGTGTACTAAAGGCAGAGGATGGTCCAGCTTTTGGGTACTTGAACCTTCTCCACCTACATTATCTCTGCAGCCAAGTCCGGGACAGGACAGGAGGTCGTCTGAGTCCAGCTCTGATGCTTCCGTGATGGGGGCCGCCCAGGGACCGCCCTCCATGATTGCTGGACCATCGCCCAAAACCCAGGGGCAGAGGACAGAAGACATCCCTGTGAGTGTTGTGTGTATGATTGTAGAGTCTGTTTTGTTGTTTTAATGAAGAGCATTGTTAATTCATGATTTAGCCTAATTCTTTTCATTTCTAGACCTGATTCATTGTCCTGTTAGAATAGTCAGTGAATGGCAGGGTCATTGTCTCTCTGCTTTTGTGGGTGCCTTGGGGCCATGCAGAGAGAAGCCCCTGTGTGTGTAACAAGAGCTCCGTCCAAGCACACTGCAGGAAGTGGGTCTGCAGGAGGGCAAATACATCAATCTTATACCAAGTGTGGTATCTTGAATAGTTGAAAGGAGTGATGTTTGGATAACTTTCTTCTTTGTGACCAGAGGCTTTGGAATCCCAGATTCAGTTGCATCACTTAGGAACCTGCACTCGGATCATATCTGCTGTGCAGTTGTGGTTGGGCTAAAGCTGCTGCAGAATTGCTAGGAACCTCATTAGCAGCTCAAGCCTTCAGACCTTGCCCCAGCCCCACTCCCTGACCTCACTCCCCGTGCCAGGGCTGCATTCATCCTCCTCTGGACAGTTCATGGGGCACTGCTTTGGGGCCACAGTTCCTTGCCAGCTGCTAAGAACAGAGAAGCAAGGCTCGTTTCCGGCCTTCAGGGTGCTCGGAGTGAAGAAGGGAGTGAGGGTGGAAATCGTGTGTGGCAGTGCTGTGTGCTGCAGGAGAACTTCGTGCTGACGCCTTTGGGTGGCACTCAGTCTCTGCGTTCACATGGAGACACTGTCTGTGCTCTCCGGGCTGTGAGCTGCTGCAGCCCTCACCTCCCATTCACTGGTCCCAGCCCCACACCGCTCCTGACCGTGCGTGTTTGCTGGCACGATGTGCTGAGTGAGCCATCCGTTTGTTTTGTTTTCATTTGCACAAGTAATCCAGATTCATAGAAACTTGAGAAAATAACAGGAAAAATAAGTCTCTCTTAACCAAAAGTAACCAACCACTGTTACCATTTTATATCCTTCCAGGCTCTTTTCTAGGCATCTCTGTACACACGTTACCAGGAAGTCCGTTAACTATATAACACATTTTTTTTTCTCTGAGAAAATTAGAATTTTAGAAGTATACTTTTCTTTTTGTACATTTATATCTTTTCCTAAGAAATGCTATTTAAAAATAAGTTGTGTCTTCAGTCTGATTAGCTATAAATGGGAATAGTTTGTCACTTTAGTAGCAAATGTATTTGAAGGCACAGTAAGAAGAGTTGATGTAGTAGAAAAGAGTTTAGGAATTTATTATCAGCTGCATTTGTTTCCACAGACATGGGGTGCACATTCCTGTGAAATATGCCATGAGGTGTTCAAATCCAAAAACATGCGTGTGCTAAAATGTGGGCACAAGTTTCACAAAGGGGTAAGTGCTCTCTTCGGCCATCCTCCTATTGCGCATCTAGACCGTGGAATAGTTTGAAAACAAAAGGGGACCCATATGCCCTGTGTTTTCACAGCACTTCCCCTGTGACCTCTTGTGTAGTGTCCCTGTCTCCGTTTCCAGTGCGGACGCTGTGGGAGGGCGCAGGCCTCCTGGGCCCTGGGCGGTGCATTCTGCACTGCCCCTCCACCCTTCACTTCCGGCCGGGGCACAGTGGGCTGCGTCGGCGAGGTCGGCGCTGGCATCGAGAGCAGTGTCAGCTCCGTGACGGGTGATTTCTCACACACGTGGAACTAGACAGCCCTTGTCCATTTAGTGCAGTCTGAGGCGAGGTGAGCGTTTCAGAGAAGAAGCACTCCACCTGACCGGTCCGTAGTGCCTGAACCTGGCAGAGTCTGGCTTGTGCACTTCTGGGGTTTGTGGGTAACTTTTGGCGTTTGGGTTACTGTGAGCATTTGTCCCACACCCCTGATGCTGGCTTAGAATAGATCAGGTCTCTGCCACGCCAGTGTGCAGATACAGGGCACTCACTGAAGGGGTCAGGACGGCTTGCAGTCCGGTGCATGGCCTGCCCCCATCGGGTGTAGGGTGTCACGCCTGGGCTCTGAGACTGTACACACACGCCCAGCTCTGCGACGGCAGGAGGCCAGCCACTGGGGACCACGATGGGTAGACAGGCTTCAGTCAAGACTGATGTGCAGGATGATGGGGTGTGCGGGGACCAAGGCCAGGCAGATGGGGGGAAGGGGGGAGGAATTGGGTGAGTGAGTCCAAGGGCCACAAAAATGCCAGCGTCTAGAAGTCAGGACAGCTGAAACGCCAAGCCTGGAGCCGCAGTGGGGGCAGGGAGGAGGCAAGCGGCCATCCCTGAGGTCAGGTCAGAGGCCCAGAGTTCATGGGGCAGGTTCTGAGGCAGGACTGTTTCCTGGGGCCTGGTCCACCCTCCCAGGCTGAGCAGGCCGCAGTGTCCCTGAGTGTCGGTCAGCTGCAGGCCCCTCACTTAGAGTTGAAGTTCGCGTGTCTGCCGAGGAGCAGCGCAGAGCTCAGACTCACGTGCTCTGAGGCGCTGCCTGACTCCCTTTCTCTTTCCAGTGCTTTAGACAGTGTCAGAAAGGCCAGAGCACCTGCCCGGCCTGCCTGGACCATGTCCTCCTGTCGGAAGAGTAACCTGCACTGTCCAGAAGAGGCTGCCGGCTGCCCTAGGCAGCTCACCGAGGGTAACTTAACCGGTTTGTTGAGTTGGAAGAATAACAACGTACAACTTTGATATGAAAGGCAGACAGACATTTGAAGATTCTTTGTAGTGTGTCACAGAACTAGTAAATGGAAATCTTTAATAGAGTTGATAGTAAGTAATTTCCCCACTCTGTCTACACACTTCGGTAACAGCCAATGGTGGCTGAGGGTGGTGCGGAACCACGTTCTCACCGGGCTGGGCTGCCGCAGCGCCGCCAACAGGCTGCTCTGGGAGGTGTGTGAGCGCCTCAGAGCTGCACTTGAATTCGTCACCTGTTCAAGTGCCCCGATTACAATTTTTATAAGAGTCGGTGTTCCTGAAAATATGCCAATATTCTCCCTCTAAGTTTCTGCATTTAAAACATGGGCTTAAGCAAACCACATTTTAATCATTTGTAGTTCATGTTAACATATTGGCTGAATTAGACCAAAAGATTCCAATCTCATGTGAAACATTGTGTGATTTTGATTGTTCATTTCATTATTTTATTTCCCAAAAGTAGATTTGTATCAGCCAAGACATTTTACCCCTGAAATCAAGGCTCCGTATTTGTCACCCCAACCCCACCTTAGGAACTTACTCTTTGACCCCTTACCACTCTCCTTAGTGGCATTTGTCCTGCTTCAGGATTAGACAGCCAGTGTCTGGGCATCTCTGTGTGGCTCACAGCAGGCACTGTGGGGACTGCCACCATCATTCCCCTTCCCTGTCCCACCACCAAAAAGAGACTCTTGTGTAACCGACCATCCCAAGGTGTCCCTGCTGCACTCGTCCCATGTGTGACGTTGGTGTGAAGAAATGCATGCACTCTTGTACTCACTACAGTGGAAACTGTTAAAGATTAGTTCTCTTTAGTGACAGTGGTGATGTAAAACATGAATTCTGGACACATTCCATTTTTCTCAAACAGGAAGGAACAATACATTTTTTCAGTGTGTTCTTTGTTCCCCTGGGAGTTCACAGTCCCAAGTTCATGAGCTGATCTGTGGCCCTCCTCTGCCTTGTTCTGTGAGATTTGCTGTCTTGGTGATTTAGTCCATAGATGCTTATTCCCTATTTTGAAGCAGACTCTCCATGGAGGTCCCTAAAATGTTGTCTGCATGTTCCCGATGCCTGACAACCGTCAATAGTAAGATATGTAGGGACCAGTTTGTAGCAGCAGGTACAGAGGAAAACCAAGTAGCTGGGAAGTGAGAGAACATGTTTTGTACTTAACTCAAACTTGTGCACACGCCTTTCACGTCCTATGAGTGTCAAAATAAAGAGCATTTTAAACTGACATCAGTTCACTGGTGTGTTTATTTGTTCTTTCTCAAATAACGTTGGAAAAGGGTTCTACTCCAAAATTCAAGAAACTTATGCTCACATTTTCACTTTTTTTTATCCTCACCCAAGGACACATTTTGCATTTATCTTCAGTTAGAGCGGGAGGGAGAGAATTGGGAAGAGAGAGAAACATTGACGTGGGAGACACATCGAGTGACTGCCACCTGCTCAACCCCAACTGGGGCCGGGGACAAACTGCAACCGAGGTACGTGCCCTTAGCGGGAACCGAACCTGGGTCTCTGCAGTCCATGGGCCGACGCTGTAACTGCTGAGCCAAACCAGCCAGGGCTGCTCACATTTTAAAAAACTACTTCATCAGGAAAGAAGCACCATGTTTGTCAGAGGAGTCTAACCAAGGGTTTTAGGACGTTAGAGTCTGAATCAAAACATGACTTTTTGCCCAAATAAAGTTTCGCAAGGTTGGCTATTTAAACTTATGGCCAAAGTGCACTTCTTTTGAGGCACATGTGGATTTGTGGACAACGGAGGCTGATCAGTAGGGTTTCCCTTTGTGAGAACCTCAGTGCAAACACTGAGAGACGATGAAAGAAAACCAGTATTACTGTAGGTTTTTAATCTGATAGCATTTAATTCAACATAATTTATAACTTAAAGCAATGAGTATTCCTAAGAGTTTAGATTATTTTCCCTGTGGAACAGCTTAATCTATGCTATAAATAATGGATAACCCAATATGAAATTGAAATTGTGCCCTAGCAGTGCGAAATTACCACATTCTTACGGTAATTTCAAAGCCTCATAGTGGAGGCAGTGGGCAAAGTGTCAGTCAGCACATCACAAAACTGATGCAATGGAACTGTTTCAGGTAGTGTTTCCATCAGAAATGGATTAAAGGAAACAGGCAGAAGAGACAGTAACAAACATGGACACTTTTTATGTCAACAGAAGATACTTGCTGATGAGGCTGATTTAAAAAAAAGCAAAGACAGTGAAGTGGATGAGATGGGCTTGTCAGAACCAGGACCAAAAACATCTTCAGTCTGACCCTTCGTGAAGGAAATGAGGAGCGTGTTTAGGTGTTTTAAACTGTATTAAAATTGAATAAAACTGTATTAAAAGAATAATTACAAAAGGAATTGATCATCAGTCATGTCTAATTTCTTATTTTCTCCTCTTCTCTCCGACTCGATCTACTAAGTGGAAAGGTCCGCCCTCATGTTGCCATGCGCCTTAAGTGCAGACCTGGAAATCAGTGAGTACGAGCGAGTATAGAGTACCTCCTACTTGCACTGGGCTACATGTTACAGCAGAGAACAGAGAAACAAGGACCCCTTGAAACTTGTCTTCCCATTGAATTAGACGGTACATGCCTAATTTCAGGTGGTGAGAAGGGCTTTCTTTGAAGAAGCCGCACGGGAAGGAGCTAGATGAATAACACAATTCTTACGAAGTGTTTAGCGTAGTACCAGCACTTAAACCCTTGATAAAGGGGAGCTAGTGATTGCTGTCAAGGTTGGGCCTGTGCTGTCCAGGGAGGGTGATGTCCTGAATAATAAGGCTGGATTAGGTTAGGAAGTAGATCTCAGTGTAGCCCAGACCAGAATGTGATTCAGTGCAGGAAAGAGCAAGAAGAAATCAAGTCTCTTCAGTCATTCTGAAAAATAACAGTTTGTTCCTGAAATCTCGAGTTGACTTGGGGACATTGTAATTCTACAACAGAGGATAATTGCTTCTGTGGCTTTCGCACATGACCCGGATGAGCAGTTTTGAGGAGCCTTTCCAGTCTGTCTGGGTTAGGACTGGAGCTGGGTGGTTGGCTCTTGGGGATTTGTACTGGAGAAGGTGCATGAGCCCAGTGCCCTAGTTTGACATGAGAACTGTTCTCAGACACTCCATCATTGCCTCGGGTTATACTGTCTCTTTCTATCTCCCCTTTAAAAGTAACTGAAAAGGAAAAAAACCAAAATGTTATTCCTCAGCAAATAAATAGCACTAGTAAACTACAAAACCCTAAGGAAACAGCCATCAACAATATGAAAAAAAGTTTTTAACTACATTAATAATAGTTTGGGATATACAAACAGGAAAAAAGGAAACTTGACCTCTCTTTGTACATAAACATGGATTCCAAGTGGATCATGGTCCTAACTCTGGAAAGTAAAGTAATAAAGCTTCTGCAGAAAACATCTTCCTGGCCTTGGAATAGGCCAAGATTTATTAGGACACAAAAAGCACTAGGACAAAAATCCAGTAAATTGAATGGCATTACGATGAAGAACTTTAAATCAGGTTCCTGTTGAGTGAAAAGTCGAGCCACGGAAAGAAGAAATCTAACAAAGGATTCCAGGAACAACTGTTGTCTCTAAAAAAAGGTAATGTATTTAGAAATGAGCAAAAGATTTGAATAGGCACTTCACAAATATCGAGTGGTTAATTGGCATTTTGATGGCCGCGTTTGTTCAACGTGCATCACCAGGGAAACACAATTAAAAGCACAATGAGATGCCACCAGATGTCTGCCAGGATGTCTGAAGTAAATGACGGACAGTACGAGTGTCAGGGTGTGGCGCAGCTGGACCTCTCGTACGCTGCTGGTGGCGGCGGGGATTGGGACAGCCGTGGGAAGAGCATTTACTGAAGCTACTACTGCAGTACCTGTGACACGGCCTTACTGCCACACAGACACTCACAGACACTCATGCGGCAATGCAGGTATTTTCATGCCGACTTCATTCATAATAGTTTCCAACTAGAAGCAACCCAAGTGCCCGTGCACAGGGGAATGGACACATTGTGGTGCAGCCATCCGTACAGTAGAATCCTCAATACGCACAGCACAGCTAATGGGCAAACAGGAGAGAGAGCAAAAGCAGCCAAAGTCCAGTTGATGGATGTGAATTTCAAGAACAGGAAACATGGGAGATGTCAGAGTCGTGGTTGCCTCTGAGGTGATGCTGCAGATGAGGAAGGGCTCAAGGTTGCCCACCAGGGGCCTGGCAGTGTCTGTGTCTGCAGCCCAGTGATGCTCACCTGAATGTGTCTTGGGAAAGTCATGGAGCTGTACATTTTAAGTGTGTGCCCTTTTTTGTACTTGCTGGGTTTGTTTTTTATTGATTTGAGAGGGAAGGAGAGAGAACATCGATTGGCTGCCTCCTGCATGCCCCCCACTGGGGATCGGGCCCACAACCTGGGCAAGTGCCCTGACCGGGAATTGAACCGGCAACCTCTTGGTGCAGGGGTCGATGCTCAACCACTGAGCCACACCGGCTGGGCTGCACTGAACTATTTTTAATAAAAACGACAAAAGAAAAAAGAGACCTGGTTTCAGGAAGCACAGTAGTTACCATGGTCCCTGGGCAAAGCTGGATGTGAGACTAGATTCCCACTGGAGGGCAGCCCGGAGCACACCTAGCGCCCCACTGCCGAGCAGGTCTCCTGGGGCGCCGGCCCGCAGCCCCCAGCAGTGAGCTCCGCCAGGCAGCGGTTCCTCAGGAAGCTGCTCCGTGGGGTGGTGAAGACTGAGCATCATGCCGAGCTTGTGATTGCTGCCAAACCCAGAGGAAGAAAGCTGAACACCACACCGTGGGGGAAGGGGGGGCAGGCTGTCCTGGAGTTGCCTGGCGCCGGCAGGTGGGACCATCTCCTTTGCAAGGACTGGCTTGGCTGTCGTCCTGGGCCAGGCGAGGGCGGGGTGCAGGAGTAGGCTCCACTGGCCCCAGGAACAAGAGCCAGTTATTCAACTTTCAGGAATTTTGCTAGCTGGCTGTTCAACATAACTATTGAAAATTGAACTATATAAACTTAAATAAATTATATTAAAAAGTGAAGTCAGTTGCTTCCCCCCTGGCCAGTGTGGCTTGGTTGAGCATTGTCCCATGTACCAAGAGGTCGCAAGTTTGATTTCCAGTCAGGGCACCTGGCAGGGGCCGTGCAGGAGGCAGCTGATGGATGTTTCTCTCCCTTTCTCTTCCTGTCTCTCTAAATAAAAATCAATAAAAACTTTTAAAAAATAAATAAAACAGGTGCTTCCTGTGAGTTTGTTGTGTGTGCTTTGGGGGTTATTGATGTATACTAGTACCTATATTGTGGAAATACTCTGTAACGGGATTCTGTGCATCTCCTCCCAGCTCTGATCAGTGGTGGGAGTCTGTACACCACCGAAACTGACACATGTTACATGTCCCCCCTACTGCCCTCCACCAGAGAATCTGAAGGCCGGAGTGTTGTCTATAGGAGAAACAGCTGGTCTGATGGTGCTGAAGGTGCCTTGTGCCTTTCTCACTCCACATGTGACATGGTGATGCAGGGACTCGAACACCTCAACCCTTCTGAGGTGATGTCTGCTGAATGAGCTCCCCTCACTGCTCTGCTTAGCAGGGGCCCTACTTCCCCCGCCATGGCTGCCTTCTGCCCCTTCCAGCCCTTCCCCGGCCTGCGCCCCTCCCGCTAAGTCTGTTTCTCTCGCTGCCATCCCGGGAAGAAGACCCTGCAGTGCCTGGGGCATGCTCCCCGGGACAGGCCCACAGCCATCGCTGAGTCTGCATCATAGCACTTCCTGCAGCACAGCCTTGTGCCCCACTGGGCCCTGTCGCAGGTCCTCTGGCGAAAACCACGGAGGCACACTTCCTGCCTCTGTCCAGGCCCTGCCTCTCGGCCGACAGGTAAATCCTGCAGGTCTGCCTCAGGGGTGCCAACAAGCAAGCATGAGGACGCCACCAGCCAGAGGCCCTCTCTCCCTGGAGGGAGGACGGGGCCTGAGAGGGGGCCAGCCCTGACCTCCTGCGGAGCCTTCAGAGCACAGGGTGGTATTTATTACCCCGCTTCTGTGGCAGGCACTTCAAAGAGAAAGGCTTGCTCTTTCTAACGTGCTTCTGTGTCAGACAGAGGTGCCATTGTTTCAGCAAATACCTTGGGACTGGAGTGAATAAACGCCATTCTGTTTTCTAACTTTTTTCCCTCCGTCTTTCAGAAG